GCCGATCTTCGGATCGGGCGAGAGGGGGTGCTCATAAGTGACCTTTCCCAATCGTACCCAAGTTCCCGAGCCGAGGCAACTTTGGTGATGACGGACGCGTGGCCTTTTGGCACCGAGTCAGGGTTTCCTAAATTCTCCCATTTTAAAATATTTAGGTGGCGACTCTGTATCTGGCAAAGCAGTCCATGTTTGGCACTTCTTTCAAAAATCTGTTTTCTCAAAACGATTTGCCGGATTTGGACTCTTTGGTTCAGATTTAGAACCGTGACAATTTGAGAGTCCTGAGCTGTAGTGACCCCAAAATGAACAGAACGGGAGCTCGTTCCTCCCGGGGCGTTCGGGGACGTCTACACCTATTCTTCCCTTGTCCTGACCTCATCGACATGGTCTCTCAGATGGCCTTGCCTCACCAGGTCTTCTAAGTGTATTTTCAGGGCTCTACAACCCTGAGTCATGTGCCCATCTTCATTGTGGTAAACACAATGTCTGCCGACGTTTCTTCTCATAAACTCTCCTGGTGCCCTCATTGGCACTCTGAAATAGGGTTGGCTCCGAATTTTGTCCAGGACTTTCTGAATCGGGATTCGAAACACAGTTGTAACTGCTTGTGTTGCCCCCAGTCCTACCTCTTGCTTGCTGGATCCATTGTTACCTCGGCCTCGCTTCGGCGAGTTGTTTCCTTTTTCTTGCTTTGTCTCATTTGTCCTCAACGTATCTTCCTCAGCTCTGGCATACTTCTCAATTCTAGCCATGAGCTCTTCCATGCTTTTCGGCAATGTCTTTGCCAATGACTTCCGTAGAGCGCAATCATCTTTCAGGTCGTTCTTAAAAAACACGACCGTCACCTCTTGGTTGCATTCGGGTATTCGGTTGAACACCTCATAGTATTTGCATAGGCCTTAAGGCCTTCATTCTTACTGATTCTTAGAGCCATCAATGCGTCCACCCTTAATGGCTGTAATTTATTTGTCATGAACCTGGCCACAAACATCTCGGCCAGGCCTTTCCAGGTTTTCACACTTCCTTTTGGTTGTTTGTGAAACCAATCTGATGCAATCTCCCCGAAGGATGAGGGAAACACTTTGCAGAGCAACGTGAAAGTTGAGTTTAGGCACAATCCAACGTGAAAGTTGGGGTCCGACTTACCGTCGTATATTTGAAACCTCGGCATACTGAATCTCTTTGGAGCCTCAAATTTGTCTAGCTCTACTAAGAATGGTGTTCTCGGCTTATCAGGGGAGGTTACCTCGGCATCGGCATTCTGTTGCTTCCTCTTGAGGTAATCTCTCAAGTCCTCCTTGCTCCGCCTAGGAGCTCGGCTATCTCCCGACTTCAGTCTTTTCGGCATACTACTCTCAGCTTCGTTGTGGGCCCTTTTCAACCTTTCTCCATGAGTTGTGTCGAAGCACAGCTTTTGCCTTTGAACATGCCGATATTCTTTGGGGTCTGCTTCTTTAGTTCGATGTGTCATTCGTGACTCTTCTTTCCTCGACTCTCCTCGCCCGACCTCCCTAGAAGGCCGGTGAGAGTGTTTTTCGCTTCTGGTGTGTTGAGGGGCTATTGGGATTGGCTTCTGCCCCCATTTCTGGGTATTGGCCACTGGAATCGGCGTGTCTTGCAGCGGGATGGTGGCTGCATGACATTACTTTACATCATAAAATTGACGACCGATTGCAGGTCTGCCAACTTGTTTGCCATATCTTTCACCTCTTCGTCCTTCTGTAGACATCTATCCTTCCATACCTAGAGGTCATCCTCGTTATAGTATCCGCTTTGATCTGGTTTCTTTGGCACGTCGCCATCCTGGCCGACGTCTTTCCTGCCGTGATTCTAGTTCTGAGTCTCCTCATTGCGACCATCTTCTTCTACGTTTGGATCAACGTGTTTTCCACTCCCAGTAGGGATTTCGTCCCCAACCTTATCATTCTGTCTGTCACTGGCCATCTATTCTCCTTTCTTTCCCACAGATGGCGCCAAATTGTGTGAGTGAATTTCCAATCACACTGCCAACTTAGTACAGCTGGAGAGCACTAGCAGAATAGATGGCACCTGCCTGACCTGCAACAGAAAGAGAAGATTTCAGCGGTGGTTCGTCCATCCGGGGGCACTCCGACGATCAAGTCAGTTTATCTCTCAAAGATAATCAATAGTGCTAAACTCACTGTTCATAATATAAATTACGTATCTTATACCCATCGGGGGTGCCTTTCTTTTATAGTTACCTCAATCCTAGTCCCCATAAAAGCCTAGCTTCAATGGACTTCTGCTCAGTGCTTATCCTGGACTCTCCAAGAGATAAAGATAAACTCCCTAAGAGTGTTACCCTTATCCATGCTGAAGTCCTTCCTCATTCTAGGACTCTTGTGCCTTATCTGCTTATCTCGGATTCCGATATCTTCGGAGATAACCTCGGCCTTTCCGAGATAACCTCGATGTCATGACCAGGACACGTGGCACCTCGGCGTCACCTTGGCCACGTGTTGGTACTCAGAAAATTTATTCCCATAATATCGATGAAGACGGCGAAAGAAAAATGTTGCAATAGTAGGTAGGAAAAAAAAACGAGGAGTTATTAAATAGATACTCATATAAATAATCATGTGCCATAAATCAGAAGTAAACTCGTGCTAAGATAATTTGTGATTTGAAATAGAATTATTTTGAGTCACATTTTTGCATAGTTTTTGGAGTTTTAGACACATACTAACGATAAGGAAAATGTTTGGTAACTCGAAAATAGTTGGCTCAAATTGACTCGAAACCCAAAACAACGTCGTTTTGGATTCTCTTACTGGTAAGATATATGAAAATTCTCTTACCGGTAAGATAATTTGGTAAGATAATTTTCATTAAATATCCCTCTCATAAAACGAAACTACCGTTCCAAAACGACGTCATTTTAATTTCGAGCCAAATTCATGCTCGAAAATTTCGAAATACGTAGCATAATCTCTAACGATAATTAGCATATTTTAATTTTTTTAAAACAATAGTTTGCTGGGAAAATTACAAATAAAATAAAATAAAAATTACACGATTTAAATTTTGTAGTAAAATAAATTATAATTTTTAATTTTACTAATTTACATCATAAATTTTTTATTTATTTTCAATATAAATCATTTATCTATTTTTATTAAGTAAAATAAATTAAAAAAATTAATATTTTAATCAGCAAACTTAACAAAAATAATATTTTAAATATTTTATGTATATTTACATTGAGTTTAATTATCAAAATATTTTTTTTATCAATTTTATTTAACAAAATAAGTAAACAGTTTAAATTTAAAACAAAAAATTTAAGATTTAAATTGATAAAATTAAAATTCAAAATTTATTTGTTATAAAAATAAAAATAAAATTTTTATTTTTTTTTCTCTTCTAATTGTCCCAATTTATATATCCCTTTTATGGATTATTTACCAATAAATCCTACTTCACAAACTGTTATACTAAATAGTCCCACTTTTATTCTATTATATCAAATAGTCCTGTTGGTATGTTGATTTAGTCCTTTTTGATTTTTTTTTTTCCATTTTTGTTTCACTGCGTGGACGAGAGTGCCCTTGATTTAATGTGGTACTCTTTTGCGGGGTCAGTTCCTTTGGGTTGGTTTCATGCTAGAGAGAGAGATGGGTTGGTTTCAGTCGAGAGAGAAAGAGGAGTAATCAGTCTCTCTTGTGTGTGTGTGTGTGCGTGTCTACTATCCGTGTATCAGTCTGTGTGTTTTTCAATCTCCCTGATCAAGGCTCTGTGCTAATGTTCCACTCTCTTCTTCACACACACACACACACACAGAGCGAGAGCGAGGGATAGGGTTCTTCTGAGTCGGTTCGAGAGTAAGAGAGAGAGAGATGGGTTGGTTTCAGGCTAGAGAGAGAGAGAGGAGTAAGTTGTTTCTCTTGTGTGTGTGTGTCTGCTGTCCGTGTATCAGTCTCTGTGTTTTTCAATATCCCCGATAAAGGCTCTATGCTATTGTTCCACTCTCTTCTTCACGAGAGATAGAGAGAGATCAGAGAGAGAGGGCGACAATGTATGTTTGTATCTGTGTGTGATAGGAGAGAGAGAGAGAGAGAGAGCCCATGCCAGCCCCTGTGTGTGTCTTAACTCAGATTGAAGAGAAGTTGTGTACGTGTGTCACATGTATCAGTGTGTGTGTGTTGTGTGTGTGTATCAGTGTGTGTGTTAACCCCCAAACACACCAAACCCAGCCCAATAAAAAACCCCTTACAGCCCTTTGCCATTCTGTGACACCCTGTGTGTGTCTTAACTCAGATCGAAGAGAAGCTGTGTGCGTGTGTCTCGTGTATTCGTGTGTGTGTATGTCGTGTGTGTGTATCAGTGTGTGTCTTAACTCAGATCGAAGAGAAGCTATGTGCGTGTGTCCCGTGTATCAGTGTGTGTATGTCGTGTGTGTGTGTTGTGTGTGTGTTAACCCCCAAACATACCAACCCAGCCCAATAAAAAACCCCTTACAGCGCTTTGCCATTCTGCGACACCCTACCAATGTATCACATGCAACACACCACACATCTATTCATTAATCATGCATGTGAGCGACACACACACCTCACCCAATTTCTACCCGACAACTGCATCAGCAACGGTTAGATGAGGGTAATTACGTCCCTCACAATTGAATGAGACTAAATGGTTTAATAGAATAAAAATGAGACTAATTGATTCATAAGTTCAAATTTTAGGATTTATCGGTAAAACTCCTTTATTTATTTATTTTTGTTGTAAAACTACTAATTGAGAGTGAGAAAGAGCCGAGCCTACCAGATTTCTTCATCGTCTTCGAAGACTCTCTCTGATTTTGGAGTTCATAGCAAAATCAACAATGGCGGTGGTCACCAGAGTGATAGCCACAACAGCAGCAACCAACGCCACCTTCACCACTACCACCACCACTGCCTTACTCTTCAAAGGGATGCCATTGCGAAGATCTCAAGCTTTCAATCTTATCTTCAACAACAACAACTACAACAAATTAGTACCCAAGAGGAGGCTATTCACTTGCAGTGCTCTGTATAAGCCCCAGATTCATATCCAAGAGGAAGGCCAATTTGAAACCCTAGACTACCGGGTTTTCTTTCTCGACAATTCCGGCAAAAAGGTTTGATTATTAGAATATGCTAAAAATCTGTGTTCTTGATGTGGATTGACTGATTGAAATTTAAATTTAAATTCTTACCTTCTGAATTTTCATTTGCGTGATAGAGATGCATGACACTAATTTTTTGTTTATGTACTTTTGATTCACAAGAAACTGCAGGCAAAAGAGGAACTTAAAAAAAAAAAGAAGCCAAAGTTTGATCATTCTAACAAAATAAACTTCTAAGTACTTAATTTTATCAATTTAAATTGTAATTTTTTAAAAAAAAAATTTCAATCGAAACATTTGATTATTTTATTAAGTAAAAAAAGAGAAAAAACAATATTTTAGTCATTAAATTTAATGAAAATGCATATTATAGATGGTGTATGTACATCTCCATTGAGTCCAAGACTAAAATTATATATATATATATTTCTGTGGGTTTTAATTAACAAAAATAGGTGGATGGTTTGAATTGAAAAGCAAATCAGAAGATTATGATTTAAATTTACAAAATTAAAAATTCTGGGTTTATTTTGTTACATAAAGTCGGGTTATTTTGTATTTTTCTAAAAAATAGAGTTTAAATTCTGTGTCTTAAGTTTCCTTGTTACCTTCTTAGCTTGTATTTTTATTTGATAGCACCGAGTGACTGAGCTTTTCAACTAAGATGCTAATGCATTTTTAATGCACTTTTTTGTTTTTCCATACTAGTTATGACTGCTATAGGTTTTTATTGCATGCTTATATACATATTTGATGTGCAAGCTTGAAAGGGCAAATCGAAGTTGGATAGATATATATATCCGTGAAAAAAGTAATATTTGGAAGTTTATGATTCATAGTAAGTGTGTGCATCATGAGTAGAGCTATTTCGTGAACTAATCAGTTCCATTGAGTTTGTCATTGTTATGAAAAGGGATTCTTGATAGTTTTCTATGTAGATGATTGCTTTGTAGCTTAATCCCATGTTGCATTGGTTTTGGTATTTGACATAATTTTGAACCCATTTTCTACCCACATCAAAATGATTAAGAATGAAGATAATGCAAAATGCAGTAGATAATTAAGAGTTGAAAAAAATGAGAAAAAGGGATTCTAGTAGAATTATTAAATTAGTAAAAGTTTACTTAAAATCAATAATTGACAGATAAAAGTGAAGTACACGTATCATTGAAGTAAATCATTTTTTGTGTGGTTTAGGAATTATTTACAGATTTATAGTAGTCCTGGAATTTGCAAAATATTGAAGTACATGGAAGAGGAATGTTTTATGTAGCTTTATAAACAAGTATTGGGAAATATGGTTTTTTCTTACAATTTCAAATATTTATTGGTTAGTAAGGCATTTATTTATTTGCAAGTGCTTGCTTACTTTGCAGGTTTCTCCCTGGCATGATATACCATTACACTTGGGTGATGATGTTTTTAATTTCATTGTTGAAATACCCAAAGAAACAAGTGCAAAGATGGAGGTTGCTACTGGCGAGTCATACACTCCCATAAAGCAAGATACAAAGAAAGGAAAACTTCGATATTATCCGTAAGATGTGCCATTTTACCTTCACTTTTCCTTTCCCCTTCTTTTCTTGTTTCATAACTTCTCATGCATAGTTTTGTTGTTCTATAAGGGCTTGAATCAGGCACTGTTGTTCGTTTTCATGTATAAGCATCTGATTAAGTTATCAGACAGACTGCTCAATTTTTCCGCTGATGCATGTCCAACTAAACATCTAAATACGTTTTCATTTGTTGGGAGTTGAGTATTACCAGTCTCATATGGGAATTTTGCAAGCCAGAATTCAACATTTTTCTGGTCTCATATGGGAATTTGGAGTATTGAATTCATCCATATTGATAATCGTGGTGCCCTCATGCTATTTCTGTCAAACTTTACCTAGTGATGTTTGCTTCTCTGAGGGTGATTTGTGGCATTTCTATCAAATGGCAAGCACCCTAGCCTATAGGCTTAACATATGTTGAGTAATGTTGTTCGTACGTGGTCCTTTAATTGTAATATGATTTTGGCTTAAAAACATATTTCTTAATGTGAATGGATCAAGAAGGTGGAAATGGTGGATATCAGAATCTTCTGGGTTTAAACATTATGCTAGTTTTATTCCATTGAGATTATTTTTAGCAGTTGGGTAATTGCTCTAAATCCTAATAATCAACTTAGATTTTGGAGAGGAGGTCAAATAAATAGGCTATGTAAGGCTGGTCCTAGGGAATATTTCCTTGAAAACCTGAGATATATAATCACTGTCAAAAAATGAACTAGCTTTAGCGACCTTCATATCATTTGCATGCTCTTATAGAGTGAATTTATTTCCATTTTATCGTTTAAAACTTTAATATGAGAGCTTTTTAAGCCAACTTGTTTATCGTTTTATTTCTTTTAACCATGGTTGTTAAAATCGCGATCCGGAGCGTAGGATCATACGATCCTACTTTGCCAAAACGATCCAGATCGTTGTAGGATCGATGTTACAACAGGATCGCAAGTAGGATCGTGTAGGATCGCATGAGATCGTGTAGGATCGTGTAGGATCGCATGAGATCGTGTAGGATCGTATGAGATCGTAGGTAGGATTGCAAGTAGGATCGTAGATTTTATGATTTTTCACCTTATTTTTAATATGTATCATTTTAATTTTAATTTTTATCTTTTTTTTTAATAGAAAGTAGGATCTTACGATCCTCAATCCGATCCTACGATCTGATCCACAAGACCCTCTCACTGATCCTACTTAGGATCCCGATTTTAACAACGTTGCTTTTAACAAATTGATGTTTGCCAGATCTCTGATACTTGCCACTGTTGATCTAATCACAAAACCCTAGATTCTCTCTTTACATGACTTCTCCATAATTTTTATATTGGAATTTGAGTTTCTTAAAGTCTAAGCTCCTGAATCATTTTATTTATCTTTCTCAGTTACAACATAAATTGGAATTATGGATTGTTTCCACAAACGTGGGAAGACCCATCACTTGCAAACTCTGAAGTTGATGGGGCACTTGGAGATAACGATCCAGGTACTAGTTGATCATTCATTTCATTGTACCTTTTTACTAAGCATTCTCTTCTACCAAAAGCAAAAGCATAAAATAATTGAATTTATTTTGCCAATTTCTTCTAATTGTAGTTGATGTTGTTGAGATCGGTCAAACTCGTGGAAAGATAGGCCAGATTATGAAGGTCAAGCCATTAGCTGCCTTGGCAATGCTTGATGAAGGGGAACTTGACTGGAAAATAGTTGCAATTTCATTGGATGATCCAAGAGCTTCACTTGTTAATGATATTGATGACGTGGAAAAGCATTTGCCGGTAATGTTTTTGTTGAACTAAGCAATAATTTATTTTAGTTTGTTCTAAATACTAGTAAAAAAAAGAGAGTTTATTGTAGATATACATGCTGAGACTTTTGTAACATCTGTGACATATCATCTGTTCTCATGCTCTTTGTTTGTCTGGTTCCTTCGGGGGATGGATCTATAACTGGTTAACATCTCCTTGTATAATAATAAGCCTACACCAATTAGTTAGGATGAGCATTGTTGGGTTGGTCGAACTTACTCATTGCACAAAATGTTTTAGTTATTAATTTTAACAAGGGCAATGTGATAATGTGTAGAACACTAGAAGGTATGGAATTTTGTAAGACAAATAGTCTTAGAAGCACTAGCAATGTATTGGTTATATCATATACAGTATCTATGTCATAAGTACATTTGAGCTTTACAGCATTTTCCATCCTTTTCTTCTTCCTTTTTTTTTAAAATTTTTTTTTTTAAATTTTTTTAAATTTTTATTTTTTTTAATTTTTTTTAATTTTTATTTTTTTAATTATCTTAATAAGGGCATGACCAATGATTGGTGTGAAAGTCAATATTTTACAGGTGTTGGTTACCTCAAAGCCATTAAATTCGAGCAATATGAATGAAGGTGTGATTTAGATTTCAATGTTAGTAATCAGCGGTGCATATGTACATCATTCTGATTACATTGCAATGTCAATAATCAGGGCTAAGGTGTTCTATTTATTAGCAAACTATGGTAGTCCCTGGTTAATAGAAATATAAGTTGACATAGGCTGCTTAAAAATTGATTTGGCACCTATGTAAATTAATTGCTGTGCATAATTGTCACGGGCCTGACTGGGTAACTTCTCCAGGGCACTCTCACTGCCATCAGAAACTGGTTCAGAGACTACAAGATCCCTGATGGAAAACCTGCAAACAAATTTGGTCTTGGCAACAAGGCAGCGAACAAGGTATTATGATTTCTATGCTTCAATCAATCTACATTGTTTAGATGCAGTTCTGACCATCTTGAAGGGTGTTTGATTAGGAAATTGTATGTCATGCAGCATAAGTACATAACGCATAGAAATTTATGTGCATTGAACATATTCATTTTGCTCATGAATTTGAAGTGCTTGTCAAACCACTGGAAAGGACTGAATCCGAGAACAACAATTGATTATGTCGTTCTTTAAGAATGGAATTTCCATATTGTTGTTATTTTATTGTCCTTAAAAAAAAATTTATTTATTTATAGACTATGTTTTGAATTCTATTATATGATATTGTTCTGTTGTTTAATTAGTGAAATTAATTGTTTTGGAATAAACAGGATTATGCTCTTAAGGTAATCAGTGAGACCAATGAATCTTGGGCTAAACTTGTGAAGAGATCTGTTCCTCCTGGAGAGCTTTCGCTTGTGTAAATATGAACACTGTAAAGTTCGAGGTGCTGGTGCTTCTGCTTGTAACTTTATTGACAAACCATATATCTTCTCTGTTGCAAAGTGGGCAATATTATTTTTAGACGTCAAAATCAATAGTGATTTTTTTTCCTTTACCACGATTTGTGCATTTTTGCGCTTCAGCTCTACATCCATAGGAGAAGAATATACAGAACATTCACACGTAACATGGGTGCAGACCTCACACATACATATAAGTGTTATGTTTATTTCCGGTGTACAAAAAAAAATAAACATGCAAGTGTTATGTGAGACTTACACCAATGTGAATGTTCTATATAGTTTTCTCTAGTAAAGTTCTCTTTTCTGCGTTTATATGACTAGAACTCGTGACATTGATATGCTAGGTGTTGGTTTTATGTGACTTTTTTGTTGGTTTTTTTCTTCTTTTAGTAATTTCTTTTTTTTTTTCCCCCACAGTTTTAAATTCTACTCAACTAGACAAACTTGAAAGGTTTTTAAAAATTAGACAAAAATCTACTAAAGACAATAAAGTCAGTTTTGTTGTTGTTGTTGTTACTGCTGCTGCTGCTATTGTTGGTCTTTAGTGAATTTTTTTTTTAAAATTTACTTGACACAAATTAACAAATATATATACTAAAAACAAAAGTTTGGAAATACAAGACTTTCAACAACAGCAATGCAAACTATGCAATAGACCTTCCAACATATTTCTGGTAATAATAGGTGGTGATGTTTTTATGAGAGCCATCCATACTCTTTGGGTTCAAAAAATACATCCTCTCTACCAAACAAAGATCAGTAACTCTTGGGCTGCATAAATTCTGGGATTGATATATCACTAGGAAATGCCTACAGATTACTGAAAGATTAGATCTGTAATAAAATGCCAAAAGCCAAAGATGGAAGACAATATGTTCTTCACAATTCCTTCTAATCTGTCCGACAGGATCAATTTCAAAACATTGTGATTTGTTTTGAAACTATCGACAATTTGAAAGCTATTGAATCACCATTGAAACATTATTTACAAATTGAGAAGAAGAAGAAAAAAACATCAAGGGGGCATGTACATGAAAGACGTGTCAGGCCCAGCTAGAACTGGGAACTTGTTATACTGGCAAGGAGTTTATGGTTCACTGGATGATTTCGTTCTTTCTTCAGTCTCCTCTTCAAGCAACGGTGTTATGTTTGCCTTGTCGATTATCGTGACTGGATGCTCATCATCATCTTCATTAAATCTGTCCACACTGTGAAGAAAGATCCCTGCCAAAGTACACACATGGATAACACAAAATTACTGCCAGTTGACACGTGGACGTTGAAAACTTGCCAGCTTGGTAAGATCTATGGTTATCAATGATCATCATAACCTTAGGGATTACCAATAACAGTAAGTTTAGATTGGGTGATTTGTGAAGAAAATTTCTCTTGATTCATATCGACACGTGGATTATTAGGTAGAATACCTAATGGGGAGGAGAAAAAGGTGAGGCTGAAATAGGGCCTGTTCTTGTTTTCCGTATTGATTTTCTAAAAACACAAACTTGTTTTTTTGGGAAATTTTTTGAAAAACCCCCCAAATTTTGATTAAAATTGTTGCCACACAATATGGAATGAAGACGATAGACACTTATGAACTTTTCGTTTTATTTCAAGAATGCAGAAATCAAAAATGAAAAAAACGAAAAAAAAACAAAACAAAACATGCCCAAAGTAACCCAGTGCATTTCATGCAAAAGACGAAAAGGGGTATCAACAGGAAAAAGAGGGAAAATTGTCGATTGTAGGGTCCTTTGGAAATAAGAATAGGCTGCATAAATACCAAATTACCCTTTGCAGATGCTATTAAATGAACAAAGGTTGATTTTAGGTGGTTTCTGATTCAGGAAAGTAGTGATTGAAAATGCTACCTATAAACCATATTCCAGCTGCCAGAAACAGAATGGATGTTAGGATCAGAGTAGTCTTCCTCCAGTTGTGAATATGATCCTGAAGAATCATCCAAATTAGGAAATTAAGTAATAAATCTGGGCATGATTAGAGAAGAAAGAATGGGATATATATACATATATATCTAGAATAGTAGGGAGAGATGTTGAGTCCATCACCCACTACCTTAGCCAGAAGGTTATAAAAAATGGAACAACAAAGAAAATATAGATGGCTTATCAAAAGTCACAACTTAAGAGTCACAATAGAACTTCTATTAATTAAATAAACATTCAATTGTTGTGTCCATGATTGTGACCGTCTAAGTCATCACTATATTTACTAATGTAGAACTCTAACTAGTTTAGGCAGGTCCAGATTTAGAGATCCAACTATTATAGAAGAGTAACAATTATTGACCCTGCATCATAAATCCAAACAGTTTAAAAATAACAATAATAAATAAATCCAAACAGTTAAGAGGGCTTCAAATCCCTTCTGTAGTTTTACTTGATGCAACAATATTTATGTAATCAGCCTTCAATTTCAGTAGTATTTCAGACTTCCAAATACATTGCTTAGTTACAACAATGTATTTGGAAGATTTAACCGTTAAGGTAAAACATGAGATGGTCAAATTCGCAGTCCTTGAATCACAGCTGAGCAGTTAATATTGTGGTGGCCAAATTTGAGCCATTGTCTCACAGCTGAGTTTCAGTTAGTCAGAATTCTCACTAAAGTCCCCATGACGAAAATGTGAAAAAGTTGTAAGCAAGTTGAGCAAGTGTGTATTGGGAGTCTGGGACATAAACAAACTTTCTCCTCTCCTTTTGGTATGGTGATTGACCTCTTATAGGTTCTTCCCTTGAGTGTTCATGAGAAAGAAATATGTTGTTGAAATAACAATGACCTAGAGCTTGGGTGATCAAACTTTGTTTTTACCTACAATTTTTTCCCCTCTATTTTCATCTTGAAAGGGGCATTTCTTATCTTACAAGTGCAGTATTCTGTTCAGCATGATTGTTTTCCTTTGGTTAGCATTGCCTTCTTCTAAATGCCTAAATACTTATTTTATGTTTTGTCATGTCCTCAAATCCCAAATAAATATCTTCATCATTAAAGAAAGGGGAAAAAAAAAGAAGAAGACTTTCTAGTCAAACTAAATAAATTGCTTTTGACACAGATAGACCTGATATATTGTAGTTGACATCTCAATCTTCCCACCCATTTAAACCCATCTTCTTCAATGATAATAACAAACATTGATCTACTTCGCTCAATATGTGAGGCTACCGGGTGGTCGCATGTATCCAAGGTATATGAATCTACATGGAAGAACTTTAGCTACATCAAAGAACTTCTATCTGAATCAGTTCGAAAACAAGTGGTGCGATCTAAACCAATGCCGAATAATCTTATTTTCAAATATATGAGCCATTACTGGTGAACCCCACTACTTCAAGAAAGGGAGTCATGAAACAAGATCCAACAATATAAAGAGTATTGGTTTAGCAAATAACAACATAAAGCTGTTTGCAAGATGGAAGCCATTGAGGATATGAATGCAAACCTGGAGAATCCCAACAAGTGGGGAGGAAGGCACATCACCGAAAATGTGAATTGCGACGGTAGACATAGCCATAGAAAGTGGCCTCATACTTGGTTTAACACAATGGAGACATACGTAATTCACCGGACCCTGCAACAGTGAATGTATAGAATGTTATTAGCAACCGTGTCTTCAGAATTCTGGGCTTATGTAGATGCCTATTGTCTTGCTCACATTAGCACAAACAGAATAGTATTAGGCAAAGCCATATAAGGATCTTAAATAATTAAACATTATTAATAGAATGAACAATGCATGCCGCCATTTGATTTAGTATAGATGCCAAATGAGGAGAAGATTGGGAGAGTTAAAATCAAATAACTACATAAGAGTCAACCACTATTAGCCACAAAGTGGAATTTGGTCAACCTATAAACCAGTATTGCCTCACCCCAAACTGTATTTTTAATCTCCAGATAATATACTAAACAGCCTAAGTTGATTATCTTGTTTCTACATTCTCACTTGGGCTGCTTTTTAACTTGTGCTTGCACAGTCTTTACTTTTGCATGTTTTAAGATATATATATATATATATATATGCTGCATACTTTTTGTGTCACTTTTATTTTTGTTTTTGTTGTATATATGCTGACAGCTTGGTTAGGTACAAGGTAATAATATCTTTCCTTTAAAAAATAAAATACCTGAGTGGCGAAGACGAGTAGTTCACCGACAGAGAAAAGAGCTAGGAAAACATAGAGGCTCTTAAAACAGAAGGCGGCAAAGCAAAATGCAGCTCCCAGAAGTGTTGTTGCAGAGAGGAGCTGCAAATGTGCACAATGAGTTGAATGATACAAACCATAATTATCTTAGTGTAATTTAAAAAGGAAAAAAAATAAAAATAAAATCAACATAAGAATAGCATTTGACAAATGCAGGATTACAACTGAAAACCAGTAAAATTCTCCTCATGACCTGCATAAACCATATGCCACTATGAGTATTTTATGCTATTGGCAAGGAACTTATGAATAATGTGAATCCATTCCTAGAGGTACCATTCATGGAACTACTAAGTTTAACCAAACTTTTCAGTGGTTAACATAATGGGGAAAAAAAATCAATAATACAAATCTTATTTCCATTAGATGTAGGGTGCACTAAACCTTTAGTGCCATGTTTGATTGCCAGATTAGGGTTTATGGATGGGATTAGTATTGGATAGGATTATATATGCCATGAGAGTACTTATACTATGTTTGGTTAGGGTAAGATATGGCATGGGACAAAATGGGAGGATTATTTTTTATTGTTAGATGGAGGGGGTGGCTAATCCCATGGTGGGGCATAATGAATATCATAGAGGGTGGTATTGTTAGTCCCCCCTCAATAGACAACTAAATAAGCAATATACAATACAGTCAAATACACACACACCCAAAAAAACAAAAACAAAAATACAAAAAACAATAAACTAAAGTTTACTTGCAAGCAGTATATCCTGGCACCAACAAACTAGGTTTAGTTGCTACAACTACAGGATTATGTAGCAAGCGTAAGACAAGCTGACTTTAAAATCCAGGTCACCATCCAAATGAACATTGATCATAACAAGTATATACGTATACAAGTCAGAAAAAAACTCATGGTTGGCTATTAAACTACCTTTTGCTCAGCTATAAACACTTCTTTAGTAATCCTAACCATCCTGCATATCAAATTTTAATTATCATTGTAAAACTTCTTTTGGTCTTCTTATTATATTTTCAAACAATTAAAAGCATGAGAAGCAAAATGAAAATTTGGTTCTCAAGCCAAATTTTTGTAGATCTATGTCAACAACTATGTAATACTGATCAAGAACAAAAGAATCTTCTCTTTGCTCCATGTGGTCGATAAGGAATTCGAACAAAAGTTTATGTATGAAGACTTAAATATGAGACTTCACTCAAGTTAAATTTAAAAGGAATATAAAAAGACTAAGAGTTGAATAACACGCGGACATGCATCACACATCTGAACATAGAATATTCCTAACAGGAAAAATAATTATGCATATGATAAACCAAGAATACAATAGACCAGTGTTGACAATTCAGAAAGGTAATTCCTAAATCCTATTATTTAAGAGCGTTTACCTTGAAAGCATTGGAGATCGTGGAATTTATTTTATCTAGAACATAACCTCCTGCTAATGTTCCAAATATTCCACAGACAATTGTAATCCCACCAAAATACATATCTGGACTTTTCTGCCAAAAGACCCAAATAACAAACATAGTGAAGTAACTTTAGTGTTTCCATCTATTTTCTGAGTATCACTAATATCTAATGAACACAAAAGAAAGATGAAAGAGCTGTCATATATTGAGTGATATAGAAGTATCCTAATCAACACAAAAGTCGCTTAAAAATTACCATATGATATATATTATAACCAGCTTTTGGCCCCCAATAAGAATATGCACCTATAACAAAATTGTAGGCTATGTAACCTGCAAGCAGCCAAACAAGTGCAAGAATTAGTACATTGAAATAAGTTACAAAAGTTAATGCACATAGATTATATGGAGGGAAATCTTCAATGACTAGTTAAATGTAGCTGACGTTGATCAAGACAACAATGTCAAGCAAACAAATTAACCATCACGTCTATGAGCACATAAAAATATCAAATCAAAACTAATCCATAAGAATCCTTGTACAATAAAAGCTTGCCGGTAAAGTGTGGAGAACAATATACCTAGAACGTTTACGACATAAACCTTGTCAAGCAAAAGCACTTTCATATCTTTTAAAAATCTTGATATCTGATTCAGAAGAGCAGATCTAGACTTCAGCCTGAAATAAAAATGAGATCCAACAAAATCAAATTGATATTCCTGTCTATACCGAGCTTGCACAGATGCCAAATCAAACTTAAATGTGTAAAATCCTACAACATAAATGACATTTGCTTAGAAGGCAGCATAAATTCATTCCCAACCATATGCTATCATAAATAACAGAGTATGAGCATCAGGAAGAGAGCCCTCACTTGGAAGGTCCTTTTGAGCTTTGATCAATGAACTCTTCCTTTACGGATAGGATGCCATCTTTACCAGTTGAGTCATCTGTATTTATATCAAGTATCAATCAAATTATTATGGGCAAGAGAGGAAACTATAAGCTGAATAAATGTATGAACAAGAAAAGCTTAAAGCTAAAATCCCCAGTTATCATTAACTGACTTTCATTAAAATACTGAACAGCCCTTGACCGAGGAAATAAGGTTGAAGACTGAAGTGAAGGAATTAGGCCTATCAGTAGATTTAATTTTAGTCCCAATCCAATCTAATTAATCAGATTTGGTAAAAAGAGTATGAAGTGTTGGCCTGGTAATGATCCATATCCAAATTTAGGGTGGCCAGATCCAATAACAGTGTTTATAAGTAGATGTATATACATATATATAATAGGTCGTGGAAAAATATTTATAAAGGTAATATGGATAACTCAACAAAAAATATATAATAAATAACCAAATATCATAATTCAAGTTTAGTTAATTTAATCGAATAAATTTTTCAAAAGGTTTTTTTTATTACTTCTCATTGGACTATATCAGATAATCATATCAATTTCGGCTGTTAACAAATTCAGATTCAAATTATTGTTGAATAGGCCCATTAAGTTCTCCTAGTGGAATATTTTCTTCACTGATTAAACCCCCCATCTATTTGAAATGCCACAACAAAAGAAAAGCATGTCCTTCAAAAATGTGCATTTGCGATGCCTTTCCCATCTGATTTTGCACAGTGCTCCCCACTTACCGCAGAGTCTAGGAGAGGTAGTAGGTAGGTAGCCTTCCCCCCACTTTTTTGAGGAATGGTTGATTCTTGTGACTTGAACACCCACGACAAGGCTGGAAGCATATAGCACTTGTCATATCATGACCTCTAATTATCCAAAGACACAAATTGTCACCCCTTGAGAAAAATTTCTCTGGTCTTAAATAGAAGACAATAACTTACTGCATGCAATGCAAGGATTGTTTTCCATTATAAAAAATTTCTATTTCAAGTCCATCACTAGGATTGATTAGCATCACTGATTCAAAATACTATTCAGAAACTTTGAGTCAAAACCACATTGCATAGCTAGAATAAAATTCTGACAATCAACTATTTTATCAAGGTAATCAAGTTGATTATAATGGATTCAAATGAAATCAATAAAAATATTTAAACTGGGCAAATTGAGGCACTATTGTGTGGGAACAAGATTGTCAAAGCTATTCAGTGACATGTGCTTGATGTATATTGGATTACTGTATATGTTCTCAATAGCACCCATTATCTTGGCTTTTGCACATTGGTTCTTACATAATAGCGATGTAGTAAACTGAAAAGAGAGAAGAAAAAAGTGCAATTATACTGAAAAGATCCCGTGCACACTAATCATAACGTGTTGCACCTTTAAGTTCTATGACAGCTATCTCTGTACCAGTCAATGCTTTTTTTGATCCAGCAGGGGAAAAACCTGTATCCACAAGTTGTTAAGAATAGCTAGGAAATGCTAATAGATTACATCAAAAAAAAAAAACCTAACACAACATATACCTTTCAACTGCAAAGGTTTTATAACAAAACCTAGAATAGCAAATGGAACCATCACAATTGCCTCCCCAAAGAATGCAAAACGCCAATTCCAGTGACCTGCAACCTATACCAAAAACAAAACAAATTAAAGGGAAAAAAAAAGACGATTAGCAATTGTTCCACCTAAATATTATCAAAACAAATCCATATGTGACCTATAAAGTAGCAGTCAAACCCACAACTTGCAGTATCATATGGCCAAAGATCCAACGATGTATTAAAAAATGTTTGTCAAAAACAATATTGATTTAATGTAGCACAGTTCAGAGTAAGTTTTACTCACAAATCCACCATAAACATAGCCAAGTGCAACTCCAGCTGGTATACACATGTAAAATATTGAAAGCCATGCAGTTTTCTGATACAAGGACAGAAGTTAAAAATCTATATGAAGATGAAGTGTATGTAGAGGCAACAACCGTTTAAAATGAAGCTGCTACTAATACAGCGAGCAAGTCAAATAGAAATAGGAATTCGATGTCAATGTATATAGTAGAAGTAAAACAAGACTGCGATCCAAATAAGCTCAACAAATTTAGAGAAAGGCCTAAAGTTAGGGGTCCAGTTTTTTGGTTTCTTTTTTAGTTTGTCGGGGAAAAAATCAGCAGTGAACATGCAGCAAAATTCGATCCTCCTTTCCATGTTTTTTATTGACTATTTGATCCATATACTGTTTCTACTTCAGATGTTTGGACAAAGGTGTTTCTCAAGAAACATTCATTATACAATAACATGAAACTAACATGGCAATAAAATATTTTGGTGCATATGAAATTGGAATAGAGGTAGATTTTTACTCAATGAAAGACAAAGCAGACAAGAAAAGAGGGAAGAAACAAGATACGATCCAAGAGAGACTAACACCATGCTTATTTTCACTTTGGTCACATGAAAAAAATAGGGTTGGCAATTGCTTTCAGAGAGAAGGCAGGGTTGAGAGAAAAATGCCAGAAGAACTCCAAACACAAATTAAGATTTTTTTTTAATATGGAAACTCTCACACATTTCCAGAATGAGCTGTAACTGAATTTTGCCGAGCTAATTTGGCTCTCTTCAATGCCCAAGCTAAATTTAAGCTCAGTTCAACCTTATTCAGGTTTGCTCCAAGCTGAGGTTAGTGCCAAGTTGTACATGGGTGTTTCGATAATTCATCAACTAACATCCCAGGACTTAAATGGTAAGTAACTCGCCCAAATAGCAATTTCATTGGGCACTTTTTCTTCGTCTCTATTTCTCACCGTTTGCAGGTTGCTCCCCCTGGCCTCTTTCTCCAAATCTATTAGGAAAAAAAAAAAGTTAACAGGCCACCAGCACTAACTACTTTTGCTATGTAGTCTGTTCCAAAAGCCTAATACTTAACTTATGAGCACCTCTGGCCTTTTTATACTTATACCAAGATTTAACCTTCATTATGCTTATGAATAGAATTTTTTTTTTGGGGGGGGTTGCCCTAACTACTTGATAGAGCTACCAAAAAAAAAATTAAAAATTCATCAAAATTCACAACCTTGGGTACTACTCCGATGAAAATATATCTATGAAAATTAAAAGGGGATACCACGTATCCTAAGCATGTCCCCCAGTGAGTCCAACTAGAAAAAAATAAATAAATAAATTGAAACACTTCCTCCTGTGTGTCCAACATGTGTCCATGCTTCATAGTCAAATATCAAGCATAGTACAAATCAAAAAATAACATATAACCTGAGCAGCTGGAGCATTGTCATCAATGAATGGAGCTGCAAGGCTTATAAAAGAAGCTTCACCAACACCAACTAGCCTAAAAGAACATAAATGAAAAATAAGAAGGCTATAGGACAAGGGAAGCAAACCAACAAATTCCTATATTATGAAACAATAATTCAATATCTTCCAAGTAAGACACCTACATGCGGCAGGCACTGATGAACCAGAAATTAAATGAAAAACCACAACCAGCAGTGGCTAAAGTCCAAACTGACAATCCAACTCCAATAAGCCTGAATGGATTAACACTGCAAAATTTCATACACAAGGAAAAGTAAACCGGTAAATTAGGTGGAACAACTCAGCACCAGAGCATAACCATATAGCTAGAAAGAAAGAAAGCTTCAGTTCTGAGTTCTGAGTTCTACATGGCAAACTGTGATGCTGGGAACCCTAAGGTTTAAAATTTTCCAGAATTTAAGTAAAAGCATCATTAAGAAACAAGAAACTTAAGCTCCATTTAGATTAATCCAACACCAAAGCATACAATTCAAAGAAAGCCCAAAAGGAGGCTGACCATCAAAACACAGGTAAGTATTCCACACTCTTGATTCAAGCCTCCATACAAACTATAAATCCTTGTTCATGAATAAAATTTTTTTAAGGAGCGTCGTTTGTAGCAATTGTCAAACATACTACAAATAGGATTGATGTAATATGTCTGACAATTGCTACAAACGAAAAGTGAACAGTCATGCCTACAATTCAATGCGATGATGAATTGTGACCATTATTTTGGGAACAGTCATGCGAAAAGTGAACAGTCCCAAAATATGTTTGACAATCTAACTTTTTAAGGAGCGTCGCTTAACAAGTGAACAGTCATGCCTACAATTCAATGCGACGATGATATTCCATCTAACATTGTTGGTGGAAAAAGTGTTGGTGGAAAAAGTGTTGATGTAATACCAAAAACAAGTGAACAATCATGCCTTGAAAAATGGGTTGATTATATTCCATCATGCGATAATACCAGTAAAAAGTAAACGATCATGTGATGATTATATTCCAACTAATATTTCAGTTTATACTAAATTTAGAGAAACAGACTTGCATTGAAAAATGGGTCCCACATAGAATGTAATCACTTACCAGAAATTATTTTTCCATGTCCTTGATGCCCTCAATGCTGTCTTTTAATGAATTATAATAAAAAAAATGTTTCCATGTTCGAACGATTCAAATGTAATGATAATTATTGCCTTTGCCAAGGCAACAAGGACACACTTTTAAACACATGATTTCTTAAATTCATAATATTTTCCACAAATTAGAATAATAAGTTTAGAACCTATGAATAGTAAATCTTTAAATAAACTTTATCCGCACCCATTTGTTTTCCTCCCTCCGTCCCAAAATATTAGTCCCTTATTCCATTTTATATTGTCCCAAAATATTAGTCCCTCTTCAAAAATCAAGTACAAAAAATGATATAAATTTCCTATTTTGCCCTTCTTTTAAATTAATAAATAATATAAAAAGTACAATTATGATATTGATATTCCCAAAAAATGTACTATCAAAAGGGTAATTTTGAAAAATCAACTTTTTTAACGTGCAATAATTGTACTACCAAAAAAAGTTAGATTCCCCTAAAGGGACCATTATTTTGGGAGAGAGGGAGTACCATTAATCAAATTACCATCAATATGATCGCTACACAACACTATCCTCAATTTAATCATGTCTTGGTCACCTACAATCTCATTAGACATCGTTTTAATCATTCATCCTTAACATGAGAACCTTTCAACGTTCATATTCCGCATTACTATACTCAATTGTTATGTTGTAAAAAATTAAAACTTAAGCTTGAAACCATGCTTCTCGTATTTCAAATCATTAGGGCCACAATGGTGTGGCAACCAATGCGCTGAAATATATTCTTACCTCTTCGCTAAGATAGCAAATATTGGAGATGCAACAAGAAGTCCAACCATGAAAGCAGAAGATATTACACCATCTTGAAAATTGTTCAAGTTAAAATCCCCCCTATATACAACAAGACATTGAAAGCCCTCAGAAAAGTAAAATGCTTGAAAAAATAATAACAATGATTGTCAAAGGGTTAGATGCACAATACGAGGGTTAGAAAATCACAACAGGATAGATTTATACAATGGTACGACCCATGGGCTCGTATAACCCATGGTGGTAATGTTACAAACATGAAGTTGCACAAATTTGAGGATGAATACACCATGAATGAACTTCAGCATACAAATTTCTTATGTTTGGGGGGATAAGTATTCACTAGTCATCATAAGGAAAATATATCCACACTAGTCTTTACATGAACCCCAGTACTGTATGGTGTATCTAATCTCTAGTACTACCACCTAGGAATCATCTTGCTACTCCCAATGAAAGTTCCCACCAATCAGAAACAAGTTTAATATTTGATAGCAAATTATTTTGTTATTTTCAATGAAAGCTCTCATCAATCAGAAGCAAATTCAATATTGGATAGCAAACATTTGATACAATCACTGGCCTTGTGTTATTGAGAATGTCCCCCGTTAGTCAGGGAACAGGGATGGTTCTTCTTACATATGCATCTATAACATTTAACAAGATGTAGAATTCTTTCTATCTTCCTATTAAAAATTAGTAGTAACAAAACCAAGATATCTTTCCGGCTTTTTTGACGAGTTTTAATTAAGGAGTGGTAAGAGAGGAATGCAATGGATGATCAGGAAATATATGCAGAATAAATCAAAGCTATATATCTAATGAAATAAAACAAAAATATCTAAATTATATATGAAATCCAAAAGGACTTAAAGAAATAAATGCATGAGACTTGTAACCCAACAACACAAAATGCTCAAAAATCTACCCTTTAATTTATAAATAAGTTGAATTTTCAAAAAAATTCACATTCTGATTCAGTGTGATGGTCATAGAAATATGATCAGCAAACAAGTAATCAAGCATAGCTTAGGATAGGAAATTACAAAAAGAAACAGCATAAAATGATGTAAAAGCAAGAATAGTATTAAGATGAAACCAAATCCCTCCATGATGACTTACTGAATTCCAGTACCAGCTGTGCATGTACCATTTTTTGTGCAAGTTTTACGACTCCCATTTACACCATTGCTCGCTATGGTTCCTCGATCAACATAATTTATTAAGTTAATCACACAAAAGATCACGAGTAACCTGAAAAGACAGAATTTAAAAGAAAACAAATAATTAAACTAACAGAGAAATTATTGGCTACAATAAAAAAACATATCCCCTGAATGAACAAAAAGGTGTCTATGTATGTACATTTTATTGGCTCATTACTTAATTGCCACTATAATGCCAAAAGAAAATAAATCCAAATTCAGCTTGCTAAGTTAATTTCAGTTAGGATTAAGCTCTATGAACTTTTTTTAATGTGTAATGACAAATAGAACACAGAATGTGGTCACTTCACCCCATAAACAGGGTTTTCAAAATCAATCTGGCTTAACTTCATTGGTGTAACCCATCACAAAGTATAATCGAGATTGATAAACTCCAAGGAAATACAGGGAGATTTTCATAAGCCCTGTAATTTACGAGGAGCAAACTATGGTATGCGACACGAGTTTGGGACAGAACATAGTTTGCTCCTCATAAATTATAGTGTTATGAAAATCTACGGGACACGTGTTTGGGACAGAACATAAGAATTTTTCTCTCCAATTCAATCAATCCAACCAGAGTCTTTTAGCACATTGGTCAAATTCTTAACATTTGGCATCTCCAACGAAAAAAGAGGCCGCTACAGAAATTCAAGCTCTGGAAGTGTGTGGTGTGGTATTTATGATCCTTTTAGGCCAAACCTATATCTGGGTTTTTTCTTAACTAACCCTAAACTGCAAACTTCTACTCTACCTATGTTCAAGAAAATCAACCAAAGTCAAAACTCCAAGACCATCATTTCCTAGTCCCATCAATCTCCATTAAATTCATTCGACAAAACGAACACAAACAGAAAACCCATAATTGAATATCTTCAGAAAAATCTAATTAATGGGTCTGGTCTTAAATGCGATTCTAAATCATAATTACATTTCTCGTTCAGTTTTCTCAACAACCAAACAACAATTAATGACAAACCCATTAAAAGAAAACAAAAACAAAAACAAATTAATGACGAACCTTTTAGGGGTAAACCAAGAAGGGTTTGGATCTGATAATGCATTGGAATTTTTCACCATATCTGTTGTCGTCTCCGAAGGAACAGCCAACTTGGGCTTGGGTTCCTCTGGTTTTGGCTGTTCTTCGGTTCCCATCATATATATGTATATTTATTATTTATGTGTAATTTTAGAGTGAGAGCTTGGAAGGTTCGTTGTTGTTTTGTGATGATTGTGAGGCTTTTTTTGGGTGAATAATGATTGGGAGGCTTTACTGGTTCACAAAATTACTTTACATGTTTGACAACAATGGCGTAATAAATAAGGGAAGAGTTTGGTTTTGGGGTAGGTTTTTTTGGTTGAGATTTTTAGTAGAGCGAATCATGTACTATTTTCCTGGATTCTCTCATTTTAATACTTATCGCTTGCAATTTTTCTTCCATTATGGTGAAGTTGATTATTTTGGTTAGTTATTTTGATTTTTTTGATAATTTTAATTTGATAAAAAAGTTGTATTTGAAAAGTTTTTTTTTTTTTAATAATTGATTTGATAATTATGATAGAAAAAATAAAATAATTATGTATTAAATGTGACTTTTTAGCTTATTTTATTTTTTAATAGATTATTTTAGCCCAATCCTATTTCCAAACACCCCTTTTTCTTCACTTGATTTTGGAATTTGTCAAGAGAATTATATAAAAAATAATAATAAGGACTAATTTAAAATTTAAAAATACTTTATTTTAATAATTTTTTTGCTAAATTATTTTGGATGATTTTTTTGTCTTTTATGAAGGGAAAAAAATGCAAAAGGTAGATAATAAAAATATTTAATTTTTCTTAATATAATTTTTTAATTTTTTTAGTATTTTTTTTAAACTTTTTTTTGTTATTATGGGGAGTTTCCAAACCAAACTTCATTTATTACCAATATTTACGGTTGGTTGGGAAATAGGTTATTACTGTGTTCTTATAATTTTTCCTATTGAGAAAGGTTTTAAAATAAAAAAAACATATTTTTCCATCATTTTTTTTTTCTTTGTGTAAATGAAAGATCAAAATACATATACATTGCAAACATGTATTCGACAATTTTTGAGAAAAATCTGTTTAAAATATGCGTACACTATTTAATCTAATAACTTTTTTAGTAGACCAAAAAATCCTACTTTTCCTCTCTCTCTCTCTTTGTGTGCTTTTTGTCTCATTTTTTTTTTCCTTTTCTTTTTCATGTATGACGACCGGTGATCACACATTTATTATTTTCTTTCTCTTTCTTATATATAGTCACCGGTGACCGACGATCACCATTGATTGGGCTTCACCGGCAACCACCAACCATCGACATCAACTCGTGACTTTATCCTCACCGACGGCAAAGAAGATGAGTAGATTTACTCAAATCTAATGAGTAGATTTAGATGAGATCCGACTAGATCTAAACAAAAAATAGTTGTCGAAATACAATATTTTTTCTATATCTATTCTTTCATTCGATTTCTCAATTTTTCTACCTTTTCTCTGTTACACAAGTCTATTTTTTTTGTTTTAATGGATAAAATTTTCAAATTTTGAACAAGTTGTTTTCGAGTATTAGTTACAGGTGATGAAACTGTAAAATTTTACAGTTTCAATTTTTTTTGGTGCTGGAATGAATTATGGTTTAAAACTGTAAAATTTTACAATTTCATAACATTCTTTAAAATTGTAAAATTTTGCAGTTTCATAACATTCTTTAGAACTATAAAATTTTGCAATTTCATAACATTCTTTAGAACTGTAAAATTTTGTAATTTCATAGCATATTTTTCAGTTTGATTAATAAGGATAAATACTTAATAGATTTTTGCTCTGAAACTATAACATTTTACAGTTTCAAAACTTGTTTTTCAGTTTGATCAATATTGAAGATTATTTATTTAAACCCTACAAAAATTAAAAAAATAGCATATGTTTTTCCCATTGTTGTTGTTTTTTGTCGTTACATTTTTCTTCTTTTAGTTTATCAATATTTAGCACATTTTACTATGTTTTTTCGCTTTAATTTCTCCATTTATTCTCTTTTTTTTTCATGCAATATTCTGGGCATTCTGATGAGTCTCCAATGATGTTCTTAACGTCCAACGAATATTCTGGACATTCCGATGACTTCCATTAGTGTTCATAACAGTCCAATGAACTTCCGGCGACTTCCAGACGATCCTCCGACGACTTTCCAACGATACTCCAACGATTTTCTGGTGATGTTGAACATTCTGGCGAGTCTCCGGTGACCGCATGACGGAAGTCCGACGGTAGTGGGATATAACAGCGTCTGTAAATTTTTTTTAAAAAAAATATATATATATATATGTAGTGGGATATAACAGCGTCTGTAAATTTTTTTTAAAAAAAAAATATATATATATATATATATAGGATTTTTTTAGTAACAATTTAAAATATATAGGACTAATTGGTGCAAGTATTTTGTTTTAGGATTAGATGGATTTTAAACTTTGTATATAAGACTTTTTGGTAAATTCCCAAATTTTTAATAATTTATGAACAAAAAATTCAATATATTTGATTAAATAAGTTAATACACAAATTTTTTTGTTGTGTAAATATTTAAAATATCCTAAAGGTTATAATTATGATAAAAAAAAATTGGATTTTATATCAATATATTTAAGAGTTTCAAATGAGCTTGGAAAAAAGTTATAAATTATAACTTAAGAAACTCTTGTTTTGCTTGGCCAAATAAATTGAAATTTTAAAATAATTTATAATTTAAAAGTATAACCAAGCACCATTAGTTAGTTTTTTTTTAAATAAATGAATTAAATAAGTTGACTTATATTATAAATTCTACTAAATTGGACACGGCAACGGGTGGGTTTTTGGGGTTTGTTGCGCAAATTATTAACTTTAAACTCAACTATTTTAATGATACGATTTCATACTTTACCTTAACTTTGACAATCTTAACTTACATATCTATATATTTTATCCTACTTTATCAATGCTTTCTTAAACTTTTTTTATTAAAATCGAGTTGGGATTGTGTCCTCGCTTGCACAAACGATGAAATGAGAAGTGAGAAATTTACTGGATGCAAATGAGGAAAACTTCAAGCAATGACACAACACAAGATTCTCAACCATTTGTTCAATTTGTTGCTCATTATGAGAGAATGGAGAAAATGTGATGATTATTCTTAAATTTAAAATCATTAAATTTAGTTAAGAAATATTGTATTAATGATTGTTGCAAAGAGTCAACCTTTGTTTCTTTAAGAAACATCATTATTAATGATTAATGTAACAAAAATAGACTATTGATTTTGAATTAATAATATGTTACAACTTTATGCATTATTAGAATAAAATTCCTCATTACAATCATAAAATATAGATGATGGAACAACATTGATTGTGTTATGTAATAAATAAATAAATAAAATCATGTTTTATTTTAATATTTAATTTATTTTAAAAAAACAAATGTTAATCTGTGCCTTGAGGTCACTAGTTTAAATAGGTAAAAGTATTATGAAATTCATTTAAATAAATTTATCGTTCCACATGAACACTTCTTAGCAATGTCCATTTAAAAGTTGGGTAAGTTAGGACCTATTATAGTAAAATAAATTTAAGAAAAGTAAGTGATTAATTTCATTTGAATGTGTATCAAAATAAAGAACAATTAAATAATTTTTTTAAATAACTGGTATGTATTAGTACACAAATGAAGAACAATTAGGCGTCGTTTGGCAATGATTTTTTTAGTTGATTTTTTGATTTTTTTGATTTTTTTAACTTGAAACTTTTTTATTTGTTTGGTTTTCTTGTTTGGCTTTTTAGCTTTGGAATGACAAATAATTTTTTGTCCTTTTGTGATTTTTAATTTTAAAATTTTTAATTTTTTTTTTGTCCTTTTATAATTTTTTAGCCTAGAAGAAAAACTAAACCGGAGCTTAACTAGAGGAATTAAAAGGTGGCTAAAGCATAATGAGGGCCCCATAAGTATTTCAAATCTTATTAAATTAAAAGAAAATCAGTAATTATAATAATTTAAATTTGGAAATTCGATAGTAGTACACTTCTTTTGGACTATGAAATCAATGTATTTGGATTAGACTTACAACAGTATAAGCCTCCGTTTGGGAAGGGAGTTGGTTTTTTAATTTTTTGACTATTTTAGTTTGTGTTAAAATGTTTGGTTTGGAAAGAATTTTTTGATTTTTTTGACTTTTTTATGAGAGAATAATATAATAATTATGAGTTGGATATGATATTTTATTTTTTGTGACTAAAATAACCAAAAAAGTCTCGTTTAGCTCTTGCCAAACGGACCTTTAAGTCGTCCTAAAATGGTGGGGGATAAAGCATATGCTTATGGCATATGTCATTCTTGTTGCAAATCACCACTTAGATTCTACAAAACTAAAGTTACTTTCCTTGATTTTCTCAACCCTCAAATGCTTTAAAAATTTCTATTTGGAATTGGATTTTCCTACCACATTCTTTATGAATATTTAGGGGTTGTTTGAAGTGTCCTAAATAAGTATATTTTTTATTTTTTTAGATTAAAAAATTGAAGTTAAAAATATGAATGTCTTGGTTAACTTTTGACTTTTTATGGAAAAATATGTATTAAAAATTTGTATAAATTAATGTGTATGGAAAAATTAGTATTGGGAGTTGTGCAGCCGTAATTGTTGACTTTTGGTGAATAGTGATAACTTTTTAACTTTTTAAGTAACTTTTTGACTTTTTAACTTTTTTGAGACTTCCCAAACTTGACCTTAAAATAGATGATGACAGATGAATTGAGAATTCTGATCACTATTGATTATTGATCTACTTTTAATTTAACGAATTAGAGTAATTTTGTTTCCAATTTAGAACAATGACATTTCTCTACTTTAGAATAGTAATGTTTTAGAATAGATAAATTTGCAATTTTGACATTTTAAACCTTTGGAATTTATAGTTATGCATTTGGATTTAAATACCATTTTGCAATTGATTCTCAAATTTACAAATTTTAGTCCACATTTGAAAATTGTTAATATTTTAAAATATTAAAATTTTACTGTCCAAACATAATGAAATTTTGTCATTTATTATTTTAGTTACCAAATAAAAATAAATTTATTGGACAATTATGTCAAAGAGTGAATAATATCATGGCAATGTTAAGTGGATCCATGCAACTGGTCAGACTCACATGCAAGATTTGTATGTTAATGATAATTAAAACATAGGGTAAACTTGACTTGACTCCTTATTAATCATGTGTGATTTATCTTATAATACGTAAAAATAATTATATAATTTTTTTGTAGTTTGTAAATTAAAGTATACCGCTAAATATTCTGTTTAATTTAACAGTAAGCGTAAAATATGTGACAAATATAATAAGGTTATATACTCATTTTCAAATTTTAAGAGGGTAAATCGCATATGGAGTAAATCACATGAGGTTAAAGTATATTTCGTCTTCCAAACAAATGACGAAAGTATAGAAATATTTTAGTATTTTTTATTAAATTGTTAATGGATCTAACGGTGTATTTTAGTTTACAAATCACAAAGGGATATGTGGTCATTTTTAAACGTTATAATAAACCATACATGGTCTAAATCACAGAAAGATAAAGTGAAATTTGTTCTAAAACATATAATGGGTCACAAAAAGTTACAAGTTGATTTTTTTTTTTTTAATTTTTCAAAATGGACCTGTATAAAAAAAAAAAATGGATAAATAAAATGGACCTCTATTATTGATTTTAATTACGATCTTTTATTGCATTTTCAAGTATAAGTGATGCATTGTGTGTTTCTGGCATCACAAATTTATTACTAGTAGTTTGTTGTATTTTTGTAGAACATGTTAACATTTTATGTTTATTGTTGTCAAATTATATTTCAAAAAAGAAAGAAAGAAGAGAATTATAAACAAATGGGTAAATTACACTCAGCTCCCCTGAGATTTTTGATAAATATAAGGACTTCTCTTATGATTTGAATAATTACATAAACCCCTCTTACTTTACCTGACATTCTTTAGATTCTCTCATTCTGTCAAATTGGCACAATCGACGTTACTTGCATATACTAAATAACCTTATTAGCCTTGCTTTGGAATACGAAAAGTCGATAATAACCTTTGTACTCTAAATTCCTAATTCACTATCTATTCTGATTTCGATGGAATTTGTGAGAGAAAGAAGAGAGAGAGACGAAATCTTTGAAGAAGATCGATCGGTGTAAACAAACGACAAATAAGCTTGAGATTTTGATTCGATCATCGTCACTAGTGCAAAATGTGAAAGATTGATGGGTGATAAGTTGGTTTTAGTGCTTTCAAGTAAGATTTCAAACCTTTTATACTTCCTCTTTGTTTATTTTCTGGAGTAAGTCCAGTTCTTTCATACTTCATCTTCGTTTGTTTTCTGGAGTAAATTCAATTCTTTCATAGTTTATCTTGTTTGTTTTCTAGAGTAACAATCATCTAGCTCATGTTTGTTTTGATTTTGAACTTTAGATTTGTAGTCCCTTTCGGATTTGTACGCCTTTATGAATAGATGAGCAGTTTAACTAGGAGATGTTGGGTGACCGGTTGTCCATGGGATGTCCTGCCGGACGTTCGACCGAACATCCGGCTGGTCAACCGGCCAAGCCAATTTTTTATTTTTTGTCTTCTCTTTGTTATGATTTTTGATTTTATGCAATTATGATTGTATTATATGAACTTTTATTTATGTTTGTTATGAAAGTTTGGATTTGGTTTTGTCAATTTACTGTGAAAAACAGTTTTCTTTTTAATTTTCTTAGAATAATGATTTAAGGATTTTTTATTATTATTATTGTTTTTGTTATGCAATTATGATTATATGAGCTTTTATTATTATTATTATTATTATTATTTTTTATGTCTCTTGTTTATGAATTTTGTTACATTTGGATGAGTAATTGTTAAATGGATTGTGGACTTGATTTTTTTTTTTATTTATAAAAAAAATAATTACTTAATGTGAATGTGAATGGTAGCATACCTGTGTTGTGGTTGGTCGTGAAGTTGTGTTGTGGTTGGTTGTGGAGCTCTGTCTTCTGCTTTATTTACTTTCAGTTCTATGTGTTGTGTTTGGTTTTGAAGATGAAATATTTTTTTGGGTATATATAGCTAGGTTCAAGAGCCCTGAGGGCATTATTAGCATTTTTGGGATTGTCTTTGATGACTTCAGCATTTTCTGTTACTTGTGCTAACAGAAGTTATAACACGGGGGAATTTGGAGAATGTCAGATAAAGTAGGGGAGGTTTACGTAATTATTCAAACCACAAAAAAGTCCCTATATTTGTTAGAAACCTTAAGGGAGGTGAATGTACTTTACTCTAAACAAATATGTGTTTTTATTTTTAAAAAATTGTAAATAATTTACAAGTTTTGGAGAATTTTATTATACACACTCTCCATATCATATACATTTTTAGTTATGACATTATTTTAAATTTTTTGTTATGAATTTTTTATATTTGGTTATGACTTTTTATTTTTTATTTATTTAGTTAGGACTCATAAAGTATAAAATTATATAATTTTGTTATGTTATTATAAGGTGCATATCATATATACCTTTATCTTTTTCACAAATTTTAGTTAGGCCTTATTTGTTATAATTTAAAAAAGTCAAAAAGTTACTATCCTATTTAAGTCACAGGATCTTATTTAAATCACATTACCTCTCTATTACATCACTTCAAACTCAACCCATACTCAATCCATAATAAAAAATAAAAAAATATACTTATTTAAATCATCTCAAACAAGCCCTAAATCATTCGTTTCATCACCATCGCCAATTCTTACACTTGACAATCATCCATCGCTAAAAAGTATCTTCAACGAATTGGCAATCAAATTTCTTTTCCCCTATCAACCGTCACATTTGGACATCACTTCTTGCAACTAGCAACTATCATTGGCCATTAGCAACCACCTTCGGCTAATATCTAATATTTTTAACCATGAATGATCATTTTTATAGGTAAATTATCGATAGGTCTTAATAATTAGAGTTAATTTTTATCAAATTCTATTAAAAATAAGTCTTGATAAAATTATATTTAAAAATATTTTTTTATGATAATTTTTTACATACGTCACTAAAAATTAACAATTAATAATTTTTTTGTCATAATTTTTATAAATTATCACTAAAATTTATAATTAATGATATTTTTTTATGACAAATTTTTTTTATAAGACCCATTAAATAATAAATCCACTTATTAGGACTTACACGCAAACTCTCATTTTTATCTGTTATTTTTTTACTGTCACTTAGGGGTGTGCATAATACCGCCGAAACTGCTGAAACCATCAAAACCGCATCGAACCGCACCACCAAGGCAAATTCATTATTATTTGCTAATCGAACCGCCGATTTTTGGTAAGAAAAATGGCAAATTCTAGTGACACTTTTATCAATCCGCCGGTTTCTATTTTTCTTCCAAACTGCACCGACCCGCACCGATATTAAATCATGTTTTATAAGATTTTAAAAATTCTTTTTTACTTAAGTTTGCTTGTTGTTCTAAACCTTAGAATATAGTATTACATTACTACTCGAGGGGAATTCAAGATGTCAGTAATCCAAAATAAAGTTGGATTCCAATTCACTTTTCAATCTTTTTTTTTTCTGGCCATGTTGCAAACTTGCGTCAGCTCACTTTTCAATCTAAATACTTTTCAACAGTAAACATTTTCAATATATTGTAAACCCTTAATGATATTTGATCATTGTAGCTTCCACAGATGCTTGTAATGAACTGATGGCACAGTCGTTGACATTATCGTGTTATTGCTACACTTGCTGCATCAGAAGAAAGCTTCGCAAGATGCTTAACATTACGGTATCTCTCGTCTATTTTTTACTCTTTGATTTAAGTTTTGTAATTTGAATTATATTTTTTATAAACCGCCAATCCGCCCAAACCGCCAAGGCAAATCCGTCATTATTTGCCAACCGAACTGCCGATTTTTGATAAAGAAAATGGCAAATTGTAGTGACACTTTTATCAATCCGCCACCCGCCATACGGTTTCTATTTTTCTCTCAAACTGCACCGACCGCACCGCGCACACCCCTACTGTCACTTATTTCATTTTTTAAAAATACGTGGTTAGCAATTTCGCATCATATTTATTTTCTTCGTTTTTACGGGAAAAAATAAAAAATAAAAAAACAAACAAACAGACAAGCAAACCAAAAAAAAAAAAAAACACAAAAAACATGTTTGCATTCAAAAAAACAAAAACATAAAACATAAAACATGTTCAATATTGTTCTCAACAAATAGTTTTTTTTTTTTTGGGAAAAAAAAATGAAAATTTTCACTTTATTTCAATTCCCTAGATTTTTTCTTCATTCATTTTTTCTTCAAATCAAAATGGCATGAGTCTAATACTTTTCTTCCTTCAAATGCACGAAGTAACTGGAATTTGAATGAACCCTAAATCGATTCATACAAATCCAATGGAATTTACATCTGATTTTGTATCAGCAAATTGAAGGATTGGATTGGAGGGTTGATCAGCAGTGTTCTGCATACTGCGCTGCACCACGATATCGGCGAACGCATCTTCTTCTTCGAACTCATCTATGGTCTCTGATTTCCCAACAAACGTAGTAAAAGACAAAAAAACATTCTTTGGTATATTCCTCTGCTACATCTCATCCATGGATAATATGCGTTTTAGTTTCTTTGCATTTTCCTTTTTGCTTTATTTCCACTTTTCCCCCGTGATTTCTTGCAAACTTACACATTTTCCCTTGCCCAATACCCATGTTCTTTTCATTAGGCACAACAGTCTGTTTGGGTTTGGCGAGAAAACTAAAGAAATGAAGAGAGAAAAAGGGTCTCATCACTAGTTGTTGTTGGATGATTGAGAAGGTGAGAAATAGAGAGAAATGTTGAGAAAAAAGAACTCTCTCTTGAAACATATGTTTTGTTTCTCCCAAAAATCACCAAAATTGGTGAGATTTGGTGGGAAGCAAAGTTGGTTATATAATTGGAAAAAAAAAAAAAACAAGAAAAATTAACCCTTATATTGTCCATTTAAATACAGAACATTGAATATAAAATGATTCATGTGTCATCTTTTATTTGTTGTTCACCTAAATACTGTGATAAGAAACCGCAATGATTTCATGAGAAGTCATATTTCTGGTCGTTTCTGTGCACCTAGTTTGTTGAAAGGACTGTAAGGCCTACATTAGTGCTAATATTTTATTTAAAAAAAATAAAAATGGGGACAAATCTATATAATTTAGAAAAATTCTTAACTAATATTACTATAATAAAGGGTTTCCGAAACTTTGGGGTGCTTGCGCCGGCTGCCTCCTTGGGGTCAGTCCATTTCAGGTAGAGCTTATTGGTTGGAAGTTGGAACCTTGTTGGTAAGTACCTTAATCGCAATGAATTTCAAATTTTGACCCAAGTTTTTACCTTAATTGCAATGATTATGGAATTGATGATATCATTGTATGCTTTCAAGGCCTACAAACATTTAACACCATTATCTTCTGCACTAGTAACATATTTTAAATGTGATCATTTGAGCACAATACTGATGGTATTTGATCCAATTATGTAAAGCTATGTTATATGACTTGTTTGAATAGATGGAAGGGAATTAGGGGAAAGTAAGTACTGCAGAAGGAGGAAGTGTAACACTAAGTTAGATTTTGTGTTACTTGGTATTTTCTATTATGTGAAGCATAAAATTCTATAAACTCAAATATTTGAAAATCTATGATTGCCCTTAAAAGTCGAAATTGTAGCTATCAGCTACAGGGCTGCATAGGATAGAGGTAGTAAACCACTGCATGGAGATTCACAGACAGCAGTATGGCAGGGTGGGAATATACGAGCATAATTCGTATAAACCAATTCATGGATAAAAATAATAATAATAATAAAAAAAAAGCTGAAGAAGAAGAAGAAGAGGGAAATACATGGAATAGCATGAAATTATAGGGTAACTATGCAAAAACAACTTATTTCAACTTCAAACAACAAGATTTTACACACTATGCTAGTTGTTCATTCAAACACCCTCAAGCATATTCCATTTTGAAACCATTCAAGTATATCAATCACCAAGCCTTTCCAATTTTATCTCCGGTGAACATCAGAAATGTCAGACCTCCTTTTACAAATAGTCATTGATAAATTAGCATCTCCTCTCCTAGAAAAACTTAATGATCTCTGCAGCCTTAAGGAGAACACGGGAAAATTACGGCAGTCTCTACCACTGGTTCTAGCTTTTCTTGAAGATGCAGAAAAGCGGCAAGAAACAGAAAAAGCCATTGAAGTTTGGCTGTTAGAGCTTAAAAATGTAACATACGAGTCTGAGGACTTGTTGGATGAGCTTACAGCAGAGATCATGCTGTGTGAGAATCACAGCAGGATCAGTGATAAGGTGCGTAACTTGCTGCCTTTTGAACCATCAAGACATCTTTTTGACCTTGCAAAAGAGCTTCGCAATAAGCTTAAAGAATTACGTAAGATAGTCAAGCGGGGATTTAGCTTGAATTTCAAAGAAGGGGCAGTTTTTAAGTGGTCTGAGACTCTTGGAAGAAGGACAGAGACTGGCTCTTTTGTAAAAGAATCAGATATTTATGGACGAGAAGATGATAGAAAGAAGATAATGGAGCTTCTGTTACCTACCGGCAAAGCAAAAACTTTAGAAGACGTCTCAGTCATTCCAATTGTTGGTATCGGAGGCCTTGGTAAAACAACATTAGCTCGACTTGTATACAATGATGAGAAGGTGATCCAATGTTTTGATTTGAAAATATGGGTTTACGTGTCTCAAGATTTTGATGTAAGAAAGCTCATTATAGCAATCATAAATTCTATAACTAGAAGAAACTGTGAGTTTTCAGAGATTGATTTACTTCAATCTCAACTACAAGAGTCATTGTGTGGGAGGAGATTTTTACTCGTGCTGGACGATGTATGGAATGAAGATAAAAAAGAGTGGGATAAACTGGGTGATATACTGAAAAGTGGGGTGAAAGGAAGCAAAATAATTGTAACTACACGTAGTACAGAAGTTGCTTCAATTATGGGCACTACTAATTCCACATACCATCTCAAGGGTTTGCTCGAGGATGATTGCTGGGCTTTGTTCAAGAAACAAGTTTTTGGTTATGGTGAAGAAGAGAAGTATCCTAATCTGCTGGCAATTGGCAAAAAGATCATCAAGAAATGTGGAGGTGTGGCATTAGCAGCAACAACTTTAGGAAGTCAGTTGCGCTCCAAACGAGAGGAGAAAGATTGGTTGTTGGTGCAAGAGAGCGAGTTTTGGAACCTTAAGCAATGCCAAAGCGACATTTTACCAGCTCTAAGGTTGAGTTACATTCATTTGCCACTACATCTCAAGCGATGCTTTGCATTCTGTTCACTTTTTCCTAAAAATTATGAATTCAAGAAGGAGAAGCTGATTTATATATGGATGGCTGAAGGCTTAATTCAACCCCTAGAAGGAAATAGACCATTGGAGGACATAGCGGATGAATATTTCAATGATTTACTGTGTTCTTCTTTCTTTCAAGAAGTTGAGAAATGTGAAGATGGCAACATAACATCGTACAAAATGCATGATCTCATTCATGACCTTGCTCGAAGTATTGGAGGGAATGAATTTGTGATACTAGAGGATGGTTTGGATCCAAGTAATCTTGCACGAACTCGTCATTCATCAGTAGTTGGCAATTTTGACTCTTTTCCGCTTGACTTGATTAAGGTAAAACATCTAAGAACTCTCCTTTGCTATCTTGGAGGTAACTCTGAAGAGTTGCCTTCTTTTCTTCCTGCCAGTTTTATCTACTTGCGTGTGTTCGATTTAAGTGGATGTGGCATTAAAAATTTGCCTGAATCAATCAGTGTTTTGATGTGTTTGAGGTATCTAGACCTGTCAAACACTCCAATCCAAACACTCCCTCATACCATCTGCAACCTCTATAATTTGCAGACACTGAACCTTTCGGGTTGTAGTAACCTTGAAGAGTTGCCTCTTGGAATGGGGAGTTTAACTAGCCTAAGGCATCTTATTATAACAGGGTGTGAAGGATTGACCCGCATGCCTGCTGGGATTGGAAAGTTGGTTCATCTTCAAACTTTGCCCATATATATTGTGGGCAAGGGGAGAGGGGAAAGCATTGCGGAACTCAACTCTCTAAACCTAAGAGGTGAGCTGAGCATAAAATGCTTGGAGAATGTTACAGATGCGAAAGAAGCACAGAAGGCAAATTTGAGAGAGAAGAAACACCTTAACATGTTGCGATTAATATGGGGAGATAATAATGACCAGGGCCACAACCTGAAAGCTGCGAAAGGAAGCACTTTGCAGGGGCTGAAATATGGAAAAAATAATGGTTCACCAGGATCGTCACGTAGTAATAGTTTTTGGGATTCTGGGATAGAAGTGAAAGATATTCTTGAATGCCTCGAACCACATCCAAATCTTAGAAAGCTTTTCATTAAGGGGTATTCGGGAATCAAATTCCCCGGTTGGGTTCTTCCAAATCTTGTTCAGGTTGTGTTGATCAACTTTAGAAGATGTGAAAACTTGCCTACTCTTGGGCAGCTTCCTTTCCTCAAGACCATCTGTTTGCAAGGAATGGATGGTGTTGTATGCATTGCAGAAGAGTTTTACGGTTCGGACTCCCAAACGCTGTTCCCATCTCTCAAAGAACTAAAGCTCAGAGATTTTCCAAACTTGGAACAATGGTCCAGCATTGATGACAGGGAAGCATTTCCTTGCCTGGGCAAGCTAATTGTAGATGGATGTCCCAACCTAAGAAAGATGCCGGTTTTTCCATCTCTTCAACGTTTGGAACTCCGGAATTGCCACCCAAAAATAATGAATTCCATCAAAGATGTGACCTCACTTTCCATCCTTGTAATTGATTCCTTCCAGAATCTATTGCACCTACCTGGAGAATTGCTGGAAAACAATACGTGTCTCAGATCTTTTGAGGTCCGGAAATGCCAAAATCTTCGTTCGCTGCCTTCTGAACTAGGTAGCCTCACTGCTCTCAAGTCTTTGATAATTAGCCACTGTGAGAACCTAGCCCATTTGTCTCCTAGTTTACAAAACCTTAAAGCTTTGGAGTTCTTGGAGATCAATGACTGCCATGGTATGAAAACTTTGCGAGAGGATGTAATTGGGGGTTTGAGCTCTCTTCGGACTTTGGTCATTGAGAACTGTAATAACCTGATTTCTTTATCAAATGGACTGCGTTTTCTCACAGCTCTTGAGCGCTTGTCCATTATGTCTTGCCCAAAACTGGCTTTTCTCCCAAATGGGTTGCAAAATCTGTCCACACTTCAGAGCTTGAGCATTTTATCATGTCCTGAGTTGTTTTCTCTGCCAGTGGAGCTACAACATGTCACGACATTGCAAAGTCTGGTAATTCACAGTTGTCCTGGTCTAACAATTTTGCCAGATTGGGTTGGGAATTTTTCTTCGCTTAGATCATTGTCAATTTCAAATTGCCATTATCTGACATCTTTACCAGCTGGACTACAGCACCTCAGTAAACTTCAGCACTTATCAATTCAAGATTGTCCTCTTCTAGAACGACTGTGCAAGCAGAAGAAGGGTAAGAATTGGAGGAACATAGCCCACATACCTCACATCTATGTTGGGTCTCTGAAGCTCGGGAAATAGCTCACAGAAAGCAGCTTTCCAGGTTGAAGTCAGAAACTTCCCTAATCTGTTATTCTTGGTATGCAATTTCTCTCTTATGTTTTGTTATGTTATGCACATTTCACTATTTTTTTAATTAATTTATTTTCTATTCTATATGAAACCATCAAGACTCATATTGAATTTAAACAGTTTTTATCGAAAATTCTATGAAGGGATCTACTAATTATTGAATTCCGGAATTATGTTCTTACAGGCAATACTTGTGGGTTTTAGGTGTTTTGTCATGATTTGGAGTTGAATATAACATCAAATCTAATCTCATTATATAAAAGTTTAGCATAGTCCAAATTACCAAAATTATGGTAATTAGGATGGACTTAACTTGTTGAGATCTCAAATGACTTTTTAAAAGGTGTGGTTTGGGGCTTGGCTTTTTAGTGCCTTAGCTTTTTGACTTATTTTGTGAGGTGAAAAATGGTTAATGTGTTTGGGAATGACTTTTTTAGTTGTATGGAAAAATGTGAATGACTGAAGTGTATGACTTGTTTTTTTTGGTAACTTTTTGACTTTTTAATGGCATTTTGGCTTTTTTAGACAAAAAACCAGCTTAGGGGTTTGGAAAGTTGGTTTTTTGGCTAAAAAAAGGCCATAAAGCAAAAAATGATTGGGATGCTTTAAACAGTTGTTCCATTATTGTGCAGGCCTGAAATTCCGTTTACTAGAGCATTTACATAAGAGTCTAATATTAGGTACTTCATACAAAATACAAAAGAATAACCTTGGCATTAGCAAAAATTTGTTTATCTTTCCTGATAAACCCTTCTGACATATAGAACTTGTTTTTGGCAGTCCTAGCTCCTGGGTTTGGTTTGGTACTGCATGTGCCTATTGTCGCAGAATTTTCACCGCGAGGAATCTTCCATGAACGTTTTTGTCCAAGATGAAGAGGTATGCAATGCATGGAAGGGGTTTTTTGTCACTCAGAGATTTCAGCTTGTTTGAGCGCATAGTCGGTGCAGCCTTATTCTTTTTAATGTGTAGTATTTATTGCTTAAGTTACAATATTAATGGTATATCTGTAAAATTTTGGCTTGATTAGATAACTGGATGTTTGGTATTGTTCTTGAGGTTGGGCACTACCAGAACTCTTTGATATATGCAAACATGGATTCATCATTCATGTGGTCTTGAGAACTTCATGTACTCTTTTATTTTATGGAGCTTAATTTTACTACATTGTTAGTCATCCTTCATTCTGTTTAGGGATAGCAATTTGAAACCGGCTTGACGGGGATCCCCGACCCCGACTCTGATTTTAGCGGTTTTTCCCCGAAAAATACCCCCGACGGGGAGGGGACGGTATTTGAAAATCAATCCCTGATCTGTTCGGGGCCGGGGACGGTGATCAGTGTTCAAGCCCCGGCCCGGCCCGACCCCGGCCCCGATCCCCGATCCCGATCCCCGCCCCGGTTCCCCGACATGAAATTACTAATATACCCCCGTTTATATATATAATATATGTGTATTGTGTTAGGGCTTGGCACACTCATTCACACAAACTGTTTCTCTCCTCTCTCTCTGTCTCATACACAGTGCCTCTCCTTCGCTTCTTTCTACTCTCTCTCACTCTCGCAGATACACAGTGCCTCCTCAGTGCCTCCATCACTGTCTGCGATGCCTCCGCGATGCTTCTCTCTACTCTCGTACCTCTCCACCGTCACAGATCGCAGCCACCGTTGCAATCGTAGTCACCACTCTCTTTCTCAGATCTGTGTTGATCTCACAGATACACAGATCTCAGATCTCATATATGGGTTGATCTCCGTCATCGCCGCCGATCTTCGCCGAGCTCCTCCGTATCTGGGTTGGATCTAGGGTTTACATATATGTATATTATATATATATATATGACTATATAGATCTGTTTATACAAATATATCTGAATGAGTATATAGATCTGTTTTTTTTTCTAAATTTATAAACAGATCTGATGATGTTCATTGTGCATTAGTTCATTGTTCATTATTGAAGATGAATAATGATAAATTTACAGATTTTCATTGTTCATTAGATGATGTTCATTGTTCATTAGTTCTGTGTAGATGATAAATTTATTTATGATGTTCATTGTTCATTATTTACAGATTTTTATAGATAAAAAAAAAAACCGGGGATTTTTCGGGGTCGGGGATCCCCGATCGGGGCTGGGGATGGGACCAGGCTATGAGTCTCCGTCGGGGATCGGGGCCGGGGCCGGAGAAAATTTGAGCATCGGGGATCGGGGACGGGGAGTGTGATCCCCGGCCCCGCCTCGCCCCGTTGCCATTCCTAATTCTGTTTGATCATCTTATTTCCCATCACCAAGACTGTGTTTGGATCATGCTTCATTATGTTTTCTGTTTCACTTCTTTTTTTTGGATTTGGCAATGAGCCAGTGGATCTCCTTAGATACTCTCCCGGCAAGAACATGTACTATTATGATTTTTGGGCTGTTCGGTCAACAGTGACAAAAGAGACGTGCTTTCTATCTGTCAAAAGCAAATACCACCTCCCATGCCCGAGAAGCTGTGCTCATACATTGTTGGAAACTTCCACTCCTTCGTATTCAAAATATGCCTTTATAAGAGCATTATGATATGCAGCCCATGGTCCTTTATTGTGTGCCTTGTGCGAGCGTTTGGATACGCAAAGGCAATGGCTCGAATGTTATACAAAATTCAAAATATTGCAACTTTATTAACACAATTCTGAGGATTTGCAGTTGTTTAGGCCATGCTAAACATAATTAGTTTGTAATTTATTATTTTCTTTGGCACAGATAAAAACAACATTTCATTATCCAAGATATTATACATATATTCAAGTCTTATGAGCTAAAAGTTTATTAGCATTGCTGCAATCCTACAAAATTGAGATTAGCCGTGTCAAATCCGTAACAAACTCACGGAGGATAAACATGAAAAGCCTCCGACATCAGTTAATTATCTTCAGCCTGGGGAATTCTTCCACGCCGCAGTCATTGAGGTCTTATATGAAGATGCATCTCGTGGCTAACTTCAAATGTTTAATCAAATTCCACTGCCAATATACATAATGTCTTCTTTTGATAGATGCATTTTGCCTTTGTCTCGTTTACCATTTACACGTGGCTGCTCTGGTTGGCCTCGCTGCAACAAATATAAAATTTTCATTCCTTGGGTCACAAAAATCAATTCTCTTCTCTGTCGTATGTACATGCGGGCTTTTTAAAACACCAGTAGTAACTATAGTGTAAAATTCAAGGATGTAATCGCTTACCTTCCTCAATACAAATGATAGATATAAATAAGCTACTTCCCATTCATCCGGCGATAATGTACCTGAATATTGCAAGGCAAAAACTGAATCCGTTAATGAATATCCAAAAATTCGAATATGTTAATGAATGATAAACTAATCCATTAAAATCCAATTTGATTTGATCCGGCAAGACAAGACGAGCAATTCTGTAACAACGAAGTAATGGCCTTTTGCATCCACAATAATATTTTTTATGAGTTATTTGAGAATGTATTCTTATGAAATATATGCACCATTCCTAGACATTGTTCAGTTTAACACAGATGAGATTATTGCATCACTCGTCAATAATCGAGTCAGATCGGACACTCAAATAAACTGAATTTGGATGCAGATGATCTCTTATCAGATTTGTCATAATCGGATCAGGTTCGGATTCAGATTGTTTCATAATCGGAGTGGATTATGCCAAATCCAATCTGAATCCAGTCTGTTGACAGGTCTATTGGTATGTATGGGTCTATTGGTATGTATGGGTACCCAGGTGGTGGAAGGGGAATCCATTATAACATGGGAATACTAACTTTCTAAAGTAGGGTTGACATGATTCCTGGTAACACAAAAGTTGGAGTGCGGCAAGCAAAAATATCAAGACAAAAAAAAAAAAAAAAAAAAAAAAAAAAAAAAAAAAAAAAAAAAAAGAACAAAAAGAGCACGATAAACTTACTCTGGTCTTGGTTTCCATCACCCAAGGCACCCAGTCTCCGCATGAGCTCAATGAAATCTGGCTTCTTCAAGTATTCGTCCACGAATACATGCGAGTTTTTCACAAACACTAGCTCCAAATCATACTGCATAACTCAGTTTCTTTTATAAGAAAAATCATAGTGTATAACTCATAAACAAGCAAACTGTATTGACAGACTAACTATGCATCTTAAATCTTAATGCTAAAAATTGGCATACATGTTCATCTACAATGAGACTGTCAAAACAGCAGCACATCTCAAAAGGCTCTAAACATTACAAGGGAAAGACATAAATTTACATTTACATTGATAGGGTATTATAACTCATTTTCATTTTTCTTTTCACAGTAATATTCAACATTGCACCTTTCCCTCGATCCATGGCAGGACTACCTTTCTATAAGCATCAGCTAAAGCAGTCATTCTATGAGGAAAGAGCAAAAATTAGCATGTTTAGAAGGCAGTCTAGCTTGTCAGTTGTCACCCATCCAAAGCACGCAGTATACTAACATTCATGAACCGACAATGAATTGCGTTCAGCAGCTTAGTCAAACGGGGAAAAAATGTAGCAAAAAATTTATACCTCTTCTGCCAATGATTTGAAGACGTGGAAGGGAACAATCCACTCTGGACAATCAACAGCATCCTGCAACAAAAGGTTCAGTGGTTCAAGATATTTGTGGTAGAACTAAACATAAACCCAAACTTAATGAAGCAATAAAACTGTATGGCAGAATTATATGCAACAACCAAATGTAAAACCAACTTCAAAGTAGCACAATGCACCACCACTGAACCACACATTATGCAATGCTTACAAATGTAGACTAGAGCCCAAAGAGGGGAAAAATCAATTCATAGAGTAGATCCACAGACCATATTTAAGAAGATATAAACAACTCAGGAGGGAGAAATCAGAGAAAAGAATTCAAAGGAATAGTACCTCAAGGTGGAACTTGTACTTTATACCAAAGGGACTTGAAGATTTAAATTTCTGAACCAGAAAAACTCTTAACTATCAGATACAATCCCAATGGTAAAATGACAATGGCAATTTATTAATTCCCCAGGTACCATAGAGTTACATGTATGAGAAAAAATCACCTTTTCAGAAAATTCTTCATCAAAACGTATCCAATAAACGCTATTACCAAAAACCAGTCCTTCGGCTGCATATTCGCAGTGAAAAATCCATCATAAATTGAAAAAAACTAGTTTACCATGCTGAACAGTTTCAATGATTATAACCTAGATATTAACTAAAGGTCTTTTGGTTCATACATGCATATCATCATTTTTAGCAAACAAAAAGTTCACAAGTATTAGACCTTTATAAAAGAGAGTCGTAACAATATGTATTGGTCTATCAATGAATGTGAATTCCACTCTTGATCACCAGACCCACCAGCTCTCGTGAATTATGCAAAATTCAGCAGGTTTAAAATCTTTTACAGTGCAGTATGGACTACAGACCAGAAGAAAGAAAAGGAAAAGAGAATAAAATTAAAACCTTCTCTGAGCTTTTTGACAATAACATTGGCATCAGGCATAGTTCCAATAAAAATGCCTCCTGGACGAAGCAATGCCGATACATTGGCCAAGGCCTGACGTGCACGTGCCTCAGTAGACCATGAATAATGCAGGGCAAACTGCAAATTTCAAGTTTTTATGGTTTTCATTATAATCTACTGGAGTTTGAATAATCATAAATAATCGATAAATTGCATAACTGATTGGAGAGAGTGCAGACATAGTATCCCAGCATAGGCAAAAGCAGGGAACCCATTTAATCAAATAGTTTGTAGAGAGACCATTTCCTCAAATTATGCCCAAAGTACATTGATTTTATAGAGAAAAAACAACATAACAGAAAAAGAAAAACTTAAGCAGCAAGAGTATTATTTTAAAATTCAAATTTTAGAAACAAATATGCCAAGGATACTTTGTATTTCACTGCAGGAGTGTCAAAATGCAATGAAAAACTTGAAAAAAAAAATTGACCATAGGAAACAACCCAACAGCGAGTGAAGCAACTTCCTTACAAAATGGCTACTAAAGATCACCAATCTAATGAAGTCAGGGTAATAGCTAGGCGAACTATTTCCAGGAAGTGCGCTTTTTGAATATTGAAAAGCTTCCTAGACATCAGCTAAAGTGACAATTCTTTTGCCTTTTAAAACTTTTTGTCCTGCAAAACCTTCTTTGATATTATTGCTTATTAAAATAATAATCAGGTAACAAACATAGACTGGCCACACCAAAAACACTACATTATGTGAAACCTTGATGAAAAAGGAAGAAGCCCATGAACAGATATTAATATATATCCTAACTAAAGAGTAACATTCAATTTGTCTACCTCAACATCCAAGAATCACTTACCTGGCAACTACAAATATCAAATGGTGCATCTTCTTCCAAAACTTTATCCAGCCGGATCTGACAACAGGAGACAGAACAGAAATCATAATTTTTTTTCCCCTTCCCAAATAGAGTGGATTCAGGCCTACTTCAATTAGGTGCTGGTTCAGTACTAACATTTTCAACAAAGAAGCCCATAAAGGCCATTAGTTTGAAGGTAACTTTAACTTGTAATGAAGTGATTGAAAGACAAAATACACCAGGCAAGTAATTTCCAGAGTTCAACCCAGAAAGGCTGAAATTTTGTTAATCAATATCACAAATACTCAGCAGGACCATCTATCACATAAAATAGTGCAACATTACCTCATAACAATCTCCACACATAAGGCGTGCAGGGAATGTGAACTTTTTACGACGTTGATGATGTTCTGCATCACCATTGTAGCGTGTACGACAATCTTCTATCTGCACACAATTGTTGAACACGATGGGTTATACAAGCCTTATTTCTTAAAAACATATAACCACTGAAGATGACAGAAAACATACTTGAACATGGACCAATTACTAGTAATTAATTTTGCTTGTTTATTGCATAGGAAATCATTGTTAAGCAGGAAAATGTCCGAGCATCTGGGTGAAACCACTTTCATATACATACAAAATGTCTATGGAAAAAGATGGGTTACAAGCCTTATTTCTTAAAAACATATAACCATGGAAGACGACAGAAAACATACTCGAACATGTACCAATCACTAGTAATTAATTTTGCTTGTTTATTGCATAGGAAAATCATTGTTATGTAGGAAAATGTCCAAGCATCTGGGTGAAACCACTTTCACATACATACAAAATGTCCATGGAAAAAGGAGTAACAACTGGCAGAAAAGGCATTGAGCATTAATAACTTACCGAGCCTTCAGCTATATCAATGCCAACATAATATCCAATCTTTGCCTTGTCCCATTTGATTAGATCTCCACCCTAGCGATTTTAAAGAAATATAATTTCAAATATCTGTGTAAAAACACACAGATAGATACCTTTGAACAAGGCAACTGTCCATTTTTAACAGTATAAGGGACCTATAGTACCTTGCCACAAGCAAGATCAAGAACCGCATCTCCTCGGCGCGCATAAAGTTGAATTAATACACTTTTAATCTGTTCACAGAAGCATAAATAGGAAAAAAATAAAAATTAATAACTTCAATGGTTAATACTTCATGTATCATAGATTCTAAAGAGAACAACGAATTTGATGAGATTGAAAGGCATACCCAATTGTTAAGTTTCTTTAAATGAATAATAGGACTAGCTTCTCGCTCTTCTAGAGTTTGATTCGTCCTAGCACTATAATGGTCAGCAACTTTCCTGGCAAATACCTTTGTACTCTCATCCTCCAGAAAATGGGTATCGCCTGACCATAACACAATAACATATAACTACCAAACTTCAATACTACCAAAATGCAGCAAGATAGTAGACAATCAATTTTCCACATTATATTTTTTCCCCTTTTCATAAAACATAATTTAAAATAAAAATATACTAAATAAAGTTGAGAATTTTTTATTTTTTCATTCAGTTTCCCCTGATTTCTTACCATTCAAAAGCCCAGCTCCAGCAATTAACAGAGAAACCAAAACACGCAAATCTATATTTACTGAAATCCACAAATCAAAACCACAGACAAAATGAATTGTCCATAAAAACCACAAAATACCTTCTGGGTTGTGTCTGATTTTGGATTGAGGCGGTCCGAGAGAACCCGACGATGAAGATTCTTGGTATCCTCTCTTCATGGCCAATAATCTAAAATGGCCCCTCTTCACTGACAATGGAAATCAATCTTCCTGACAGCTTATATGCATAACATGATTAATCAAGGGTAATCAAATCAAACCCCATCAAAGAAAAAAAAAAGTAATTAAAACCCTAAACTGCAGCATATAAAACATGGACTAATCCAAACAAGTACAAGCAAGCCTTACATCAGGTGATGGAAAAGTTTTCCCCACAAAGAAATGTTCACAAATTTTAATTTAATTTTTTTTTTTTTTTTGTTGGTATATGATTGCAAGTTTAAAGACAAATTTTTTCTAAAGCTGAATGAGAGACATGAGATGAAATCGAGCTTAAATGTAGAACAATGTTTTGAGCTATTGAGTCTGGGCTTTAGATTACCTAACTTAATAGTTCAAACAAAGAAGATGCTGAAAAAATCAGTTAGATACTTGACAAGAAACAAAGAATCATTAGCTAAAACATGTGCATGGTGAGCATAATTACATAGCTGACAGAGAGAATAATTGTATAATTCACATCACTTAATAAACAATATTGTTCCTTTGTAAAAGTCATTGCAATAGACACAACATATACATAAACCATGTGGTTATTCTTTCATATAGCATTTATGGTTTCTAGAAATGTCTCTCTCTAACATAAGCTGAGCCTAAAACACCAATCTCGAAGCTATTACAATTTTAAAACATGAACTAACATACTTAAATTAATTATAATGTCCAATCATTTACTGAACCTTCAATCATTAACTACTAAAGAGGTTCACCCAATAACACAAACATGTTAGCAAAATACTCAAAAACTGCCAAAACGACGTCGTTTTGACAGTTTTGAGCCATTTGAGCCACACTTTTTGTGGCCCTCAAACATTTTTCAAAAAAAAAATTCAATTTTTTTTGCTGAATTGTAGTTTCTTTATTATTTTACATGATCAAATTATTTTAACTTATTTAATATAAGTTGTCTTCAATTAGAATTACTTTTTTACTTTAATTTTATTTTTTTAATACCACATATTATACTCAATTTATTCCTTATTAATTCAACATTCTGTCTCATTTTAAATTGTAATCACAATCCCACCAATTTATACATCTCTTTTATAGCTACAGTATATCAACCGATCACTCTTTGACTCTAATAGCCACCAATTGTTGAAAAATGTGACAACTTGGATAATCGCTCTCAAGCCTTGCTAAGGATTAATTTTGGCAGACCTAAAATGGTTGAATTGGGGGCATAATGAATGGGGAAAAAAAAAAAAAAAAAAAAAATAGAGGGGTCACAATGAATTAATTTTTTGGAGAAGCCAATAATTTAATATTTTATAAAAAAAAATTAAAAAAAATTATCATATAATGTGAAGACTTTACAAAATTTTGGGAGGCCAAGTCAGGGTGGCTGTTTAGGAGAAGAGCTGACCTCCTTGCTATTGCAGAAATAAAAAATGAAAAACAAAATATAGCAACTTTTGATTGAATAAACTATTGTTGTCAAATTCAATTATATATACATGTGTGGTTCTAAAAAAATTTGAACCATGTATGAATTATTGGGATCTTTTGTTGTTTGATTTTCTCCCAAAGTTCCAAAAAAAAAAAAAAAAAAAACCTATTCTGCTGTCACAATTTTTCTCAGCCACAAAACTAAAAATGCTCAGAAAACATTGAGCTATGCTGCAAACTTAAAGCACTAGGCTGTCTTAAGACTACAGAAAAAAAAAAAATTATCTTCAAGGTCCCTCACTGGTAGTTACACAAGGTATTGATGGATCTGCCTCAACTTTGTCTCCCTCAGAATCTTCACTGCTGGTTGGAAAACTCTTCTCTCTACCCAATTCACAATATAATGTGCCATTGCCATCTGAATCCTCGGATTCATGCAATGATTGATCTTCTACTTTCCCCTCCATCGAGATGTGATGCCTCTCTGTCTGGTTCACCATCGAAGATTTGCCTTCTGCTGATGCCGCGTGGATTCTGGCCCCAGCTACGTCTGCAACTCTTACCTTATACAGGAAAATCATTCTTTCATTGTAAATGGTATATTGCTTATGTGGAAAATTAATAAAAAAATATGGTATATGAACTAGAGCAATTTCAAAACACACAGCGGAAGGAAACAATTGAATAGTTTAACATGTTTGAGGTTTACTAATTCATTCACAAAAAGGGAACAATCGCACAATATGGTACAAAATGTCAATACGATCCAAAATCATTAAATTAAAATAAAACATATTTATCAAATACCGAGTGTTTTATGATTCTGAATGGGCATAAGGTTCCCTATCAAACAAAGTTCACAAACATATAAGAAACAACAACACTAATTAATAACAATGCTTAAGTGGGGTTTTGCTTCACACCTTTCCTAACACGCAATGCGTTCATTGGACAGCACTTGCAGTGTGCAGGCTAGGGACATACACCTTACGCATCCTTGAGTACTTTAGCTCTAATAACATGTCACATGGTCTTGGGTAGAAATTCAACCCCAAAAGCTAACTATTAAGGTGATTTTTTATTTTTTTTATTTTTTGAGCATCAACATAGAATTTTACTAAAAAAGCAAGAAGAAGGAAAGAGGACAAGAAGTTCTCAAACAAAGAAAAAGAAAAAAGTCAAAACAAATAGCATGAAACTATTAAGGTGATGTTGCTCTCATATTTATATACTACACATTCCTTTTGTACTAGGGTAATTTGGGATTTCACTTCACATCCTCCCTCATGCGCAATGTGCTCACTTGGCAGAACTTGCAGCTTGCAAGCTAAAGACACTTGCCCTACCCCATCCCTAAGTACTCCAACTTTGACATGATGTAAAGTCACCAATTGTCCCAAAAGCTTAAGTTATTAGGAAATAGGCTCAACATGTATATCAAGTTATCCAACACCTATATCCAACCCTGGTATAGACACATAAATATACACACATCATGTCGTCTTTTTTTGTTTTTTGTTTTTCTCAACATTATATTTGTACCTATGCATGCATGTCTTAGTACCTTGAATGGACCCATAACTCCAAGTTCTTGATCACCAGTCTTGTTAAGTGCTTCCTGAGCTTGCAGCTCCATGGAGTCTCGAACAAGTTGACTAAGAAAGGTCACATCGTCAGACATGACACCAAGCCCTTTCAAAAGCTTAGAGCCAAGCTGTAAACTTGTCTGCAGGAACAAATTGGATATGGTCAGAGTGTCAGGTTGACACTACAGCAAAAAAATTCTCATTGTAAGACCAAAATCATTTTGATGATACCTCTGCATTTTCAAGAATAGCATCTGTTGCACCTGCTTTCTTCAGATCTAAGAGATGTGCAAGGTCTTGAGCTCTGGCATATATTGGGACCTGCCAAGTACAACAAGGAGATTAACAAATTAAAAGTAACTTGAATGACTCTTGTCGAAAAGCCCATAAGGCTATTACAAAATGCATCAATGTATAAACGATAAAACATCAAATAGCCTCCTTAGCCACATCGAAGAGTTCGAGCACATGTACAGTACTGCCAACAGATTTTCATCAGATAAAAGGGGTTAGAGCTTCACAAACTTTTCTTCAGAAGGGTTCGCAACCCAGGATAGAGTAAAGGACATTAACTATACTAAATATTTGTCCCTAATGATCATTATGTTCTATGGGTTATACTGCTTAATCTGACCTCAACATAATGATATAATACTACTTTCGCTTTTCTTTTCTTTTTTTGGGTCTCTTTTTGGGGGGTAAGGAAAGGATACCGCAGGAAAGGCAAGCCGAAGCCTTTGAACAGACTCAATTGTCCTCTTCTTCCCTGTGAACATGACCATGACAGCTTTTGGAGAAGAAATACCAGCAGACTGCAGAACTGTGGGGCGTGATGCATCACCATAGAGGACTGGAAACCCAAGCTTCCTAGATGCCTGTTGCAATTATAGCACAAAACTTTAATATCATCATTTACATAATCTTTTTCAGGTATAGAAAACAGAAGGAAATATTATGTAATTAAAAGATTTGATTCTACTAATGACTGTGCAGAGGGAACAGTCAGTCAAGAAAAAAAAGGTCACAATTTACTGTCCTTTCTACTCATACCAAGCAGCTATGAAACTGTAATAAGAAATAGCAACATCTGAGAGCACATAATGACTTTTACACTTCCTTTTGGTCACTGATTCCACCATTCCTCTGACACAAGGAAATGAGAAGTGAAGTAACACCTTACAGAAGGTACATATCATGGTCTACACAAAGGGCTATTAATCCTCACTTTGATATAATGTTTCTCAGTGGTTTCAAATACCTTCTCAAAAGCAAAATGCAACTACAGAAGCATTTATTAGTTAATAACAGCATAAATTTGTTAGATATTAGTGAATAAAAACAATGTAATGCACATTTATATTCATATCGAGAAATTCTAGAGATCCCTAAAATTCACCCCTAATAACGTGGCAGGGTGTTGGGTCTTGGGTGGTTGATTTACAAACCAATGGGGTAGTCCACAGTTGTTGGTGAAAAGGTCTACCAACGAGGGTGAACCGAAACCCTATAGGTTCAGCTCTGATACCATGAAGCTTGAATAATCAACTTAGGGTATGATGAAATATCACCCCTTATTTATAAATGAAGATTAGGGTTTACAAACAAGACAATTACAAGATGATCCCTGAGGGCATAACAATTTACAGAAGGTACATATCATGGTCTACACAAAGGGCTATTAATCCTCACTTTGATATAATGTTTCTCAGTGGTTTCAAATACCTTCTCAAAAGCAAAATGCAACTACAGAAGCATTTATTAGTTAATAACAGCATAAATTTGTTAGATATTAGTGAATAAAAACAATGTAATGCACATTTATATTCATATCGAGAAATTCTAGAGATCCCTAAAATTCACCCCTAATAACGTGGCAGGGTGTTGGGTCTTGGGTGGTTGATTTACAAACCAATGGGGTAGTCCACATCATTGTGGGTAAATTTAGGAGTCATATTTGAAGGGTCTCAAGCTTTTTCCCATTCATATGTATGTGCATATATCAAATTAATTACATCCCTGGAAAAACATAATCCACAAGGGCACTTTGCAGCGTAAAAGACATTATGTACTCAACACAGTCATAATTGCAAAGGTGCAAATTTCATACAGAATAAAAGTTTGGTTTCCCATTGACCAAATTTGCAATGTCCCACATGCGAAATCACAAGTGCACGCATCTGATGAATCCAAATCATCATATAAGAACATCTTGACAACTCACCAAACCTCCTAAAAATCTAAGCTAGTGTGTAATATAGTCCATAGAGCTATTTGAGATCTGCAGACCTTCAATCAAGAATTTTTAGTAGAACAAGATGAATGAAAAAACTAACCTTCACTACATAAGGATCAATATCAAAAGCCACGTAAGGCTGTCCCACAACATCACGATCTATTCCAGAAGCCAGTGGTGTCAACAAAAAATTGGCAAGGACCTGTCTGACATAAATACTTAAAAACTGGGATAGAAAACTACAGTTGCAGGATATTGGAAGTTCTTTATAAAAGAATTGTCCTACCTGACCCATTTGCCCAAATCCAAGGATAACAACTGGTTCGCTAGCATCAAAGTTCACCGTGTCAGTAGTTTTCTGTCACAATTTCAATTCTGATTTAAGCAAACTTAAAGCAGTTTAAGAAATAAACTTGAGATATCTATCCAATATCACAACAGTTAGCACAAAACACAAACTACCACCCAAGTTACTGAGTTGTTAATCTTATGCATCTTTTGTTAGAGAGCTTGATATGCATTGTTGAGTCCCTTTCCAAACAATTAAAGGCTCCATTTGGTTTAGATTTTCAAATGGGTTTTCGAAAGCCCAAAATTGAAAGCTCATTTGTTTATCTCTATTCCCAAAACTATTTCCAAAAACTATTTTAAATTTATCTCTATTCCCAAAACTATTTCAAATCAAATTTATCTCTCTTACCAAATCTACATTAATTGAACCGAAATCCATATTGAAGTATGCGGTATATCATATTTTCAAGTTAATCGATTTTTTTTGGATGGCACTTTGTAAATAAGTTATTTGCAAATTCATATAAAAATTTAAAACAAAATAAATTTGTATTTCGAATTAATAAAAAATATTTTTGAAAATAGTGAAAAAAAAAACAAAATAAATTTGTATTTCGAATTAATAAAAAATATTTTTGAAAATAGTGAAAAAAAAAAAATGTGTTACATGATTTAAGTGTATTTAGATTGAGTGGATCTAAAAATTTTTATTTATTTATTTATTTATTTGCATAGTTGTTAGTATTTAGTGGTTATTTTTATAAAAAAAAAAAAAATCATAAATTTTATACGTTTTAAGTGTATTTAGATTGAGTGAATTTAAAAACTTAAAAAATTGTGTATATATTTTTGGTATGTTTGTTAGTATTTAATGATTTTTTAAAATATTTTTTTTCATAAATTTTTTTATACTTTTAAGTGTGTTTAGATTGAGTAGATCTAAAAATTTAAAAATATTGATTAAAATATTTAAAAAGTTCACTACAAACAATAAAAGATGGATTGAAATTCAAAAATTATTAATGAGTTTGGATTTTCAATGTTTTAAAAACTATTTTCAGAATATGCAACCAAACAAATTTTTTAATTTTCAAACTCTTTTCACAAAGTTATCTTTCAAAATTAATTCTGAAAACCAAACCAAACGCACCCAAAATTTTTAGGAATAATGCTGATCTAAGATGGTATTAGAGTTCAGGTTAAGAGAGGTATTGGGTTATAGTCTCTCCATTGCATTCTGTTTCTCTACATGTTTGGATAATTAATTTAATTAAGTTCATGGAATCTGAGACATCCACTATTAATCCAACCATTATCCATATCAGTGGTTGGAAGCCTTAGATGTTTGAAACTTATTAAATTAATCCAAACACATTAGTTACTGACCATGGTTATCTAGTTCTCTCACTTCTAATGAAGAATTGAGAGAGGCAATCAAGAGTAGCAAACTTAATAACTTACATCCTCTTCACCAAACTTTTTGCTAATAAAATCAGCAGCCCTTCTCCCAACCTCATTAAGTAGGGGTGTCAGTGCCATTGACAACACAACAACAATTATGAGCAATTTGTTCAACTCAAGTGGTAGAACTCCAAGCCTACAAGGTATAAAATTCTTTTAAGGAAAGACAAAAATGAAATTATTAGGTAGAAAGTATATACAATTTAAATCGAACTTACTGGTTTGCTAGAGAAAAAACTACGAATCCAAACTCCCCACCTTGGGACAGAAGCAATCCTATTCTTACACTCTCTTGTAAAGTTAGTCCAACACGCGGACCAATAGCTGTTATAATTATAGTCTTGATAACAATTAAACCTGCCAAGAGTGAAATTACATTCGGCCATTCTCGGAAAAGAAGCTGCAAAGGAAAAAGGATGAATGTATTAAAAAAGTTGCTCAACGTCATAAAATGCCTTATTTTCATACATAAAAGTTAAAACACAAAGGAAAAAAACTGTATTGATGCAAAGCATGTGAAGGACCAGTGGCAAAGTAGGAATCACATGGAGCCTACTTAGGACCACATATATTCTTGTTTGGGTTTAGTTTGACTTAAATTTAGTGTTTCATAAGTTAGTATGCTATGGGTCAGATTTATTTATGTACTATTAAGTTGAAAGATTCAAGGGTAGTCTAATAAATTGCCTTTACCAAGTCTACAACTAATCAGAGTTTTTAAATTTCCTATCTTAAAATTCTAGATCTTATACAAGTAGGAAATCAAATGTTTACGTAGTCATTTAATTCAATGAAGTTGAATTTAGAGTGTACTACTGTGTTTTATCCATATTATATAAAAAGCAAGGCCATAGTCCTTGTGACGGCAATTATCAGACCTGATAGAAATGATGAAGGCATCTAACCTAAAACCAACTAGCATTTGTGGAGAGACCTTTAGACCATATGAACCAAGCTTAACACTCCCTCGCATAAGAGAAATAGTTCTGGGGCAGAGAATTGGCCTGAGAGACCACCCAATACCCAGTTTTGATACCATTTTAATGTTAGAACTTTTGAGGCATCCAACCCAAAACTAATTGGCAATAGGTGGAGAAACCTTTAGACCACATGAACCAAGCTTGGTTGGTTTAGAGAGACGATGTGAGACAAGGCTCTAACAATACTCATTATCGATTTTCCCAAACAAAAAGGTCAAAAGAGGTCCAAAGGTAATTTCAGTTGGTGTAAATTTACCATATCATCAATAACTAATCTAACATCTTTTCACCCCTTTTGTCTCTCATGATTCCCTCCCCTTATCATATCGTATTATTTTTCTCTGGCTATTGATCCCACACAACATGCTGACAATACTCTATATAAGATTATTGTGATGAATTATAATCCAGAAAGATGATGTTAGAATAATGAATTTTGTACTTTTGTTCTATTGTTAATATTTACTTAACAATGGTCATATTGCTATGTTAGGATTTTGTATATATATTTGCTCTTTTGTTCTATTGTTAATATTTACTTAAGTTGAGGGTACGATGGTCATATTGCTATGTTAAGGTTTTGTATATATATTTGACTGATGTAAAGTTGAGGCTAATGCTTATTTCAATATATAAAACTTCTTCTTCTTCTTCCTCCTAAATCCCAACCCTAAATTCCTTCATTTTACATTCTGACTTGGTATCAGAGCAACCTATTCTTCATAAAAAGGTTTCTACAGACTCTGGAGATCGATCTGAGGTGACCGAGACGTGCTGATGTCATCAGCCGTACGATGATGTCAACATGACGTAAGCACTATACAGATAGGTCCTTCACCCCTAGACTCGAAATTGCCTCCTGATACTTATAGTATTTTTGTGGAATTTTTTGATCATCCCTGATATGAGTTTTCGATTTTTGAAAGTACTTTCATGTTTTTGGGACTGTTATTCAAATCTACTGTTGGGATTTTTTTTTTTTTTTTTTTTTTTTTTTCCGGGGCCTTCTTGCTGGAACTTCTTCCTTAGGAGCTGAAAATCATCACCCTAGGGTTTCTTGATCTTAATTTGAGGTTTTGCTACTGTTGGGTTGATGTTTTGTTTGATTATTGCCTATTTTGTGGTTCAACAGCATTATTTCTTCACTTCTACCTATTGAAGGTTCCTATATAAGGGCTGAAATCCTTCTAGCAAGTGATATTTGTCCTCTATTTCTTGATTTCTGCTGTTGAGTTGGTGTGTTGGTCTAATTTGGGTCCAAATCTGGTGGCAGACCTGTGCTCTCCTCACTCTTGCCTATTTTTGCTGTGGATTTTTGTTTTTTTGACCTAGTGCTGTGTCTATATTGGTGATTGATCATTATGGTTGAGATTGAGGCTAAGGCTATAACTATGGGTAAGGATGATGACATGCCTAAATCTATCACTACCAAGAAATTGAATGGTGCCAATTATTTGGCTTGGGCCCACGCCGTCAAGATTTTCTTACGTGGTAAGAAGAAGTCCCGCTTCATTAGCAAACTCCCTCCTCCTATTGATGACCTAGACCTAGCTTATGATGATTGGTGTAGTGAGGATTCCTGTGTTATGAGTTGGATTTGGCATAGTCTGGAACCACATGTTGGGACTACCGTGGAATTTGTGTTACCTCTAAGGACATTTGGGACTCCCTTGCTGAGTCTTTTTCAAATCAAAGTAATGTTTCTCGGGTCTATGAGTTATATGAATAGATTTTTGCCATGCGTCAATCTGGCCGGTCTCTCCCTGATTATTATAGTAGTCTCAAGACTTTGTGGGACCAGTTACTGCAGCATCGACTGTTCACTAATGATGTGAACAAGCAGAAGCAACATTGGGAGGAGTTTATGATGGCTTCTTTACTTTCTAGCTTAGATCCTAAGTTGCGAGGGTTCAAGGATCAAATTCTTGCTAGTGAGACTTTACCTTCAGTTGCCAATGCCTATTCTAGGCTGTTACGCTCTTCATTGGAACAAGCATAATCCACTTCTAGGTCCTCTCCTTTATCATCTTCTACATTGGTTTCTAGTAGTGGCGATCACGGGTCTACTCACGGGGGTTTTCATGGTTCATCTGGTTCCCGGGGCTCTAATTTTGGTTCATGGGGCTCTCGTGGAGGTGGACCTCGTAGTGGTGGCTCACGTGGTGGTTTCTGTGGTGGCGGTAGTAGCGGACCTAGTTCTCGTACACATGGTGATCGCAAGTGTACTCATTGTGGTTCCAAAGGTCATACTGAACCTTAGTGTTGGCAGAAATATGGCAAACCTGATCATGTCCATCATGTTATGGATGTCCCATCCTCACAGTCTTCCTTGTTGTCCACTGGCTCGGATGGTTCTCCGGTTAATTCTCATGAGACACTCACTACTCAGATTAGTGAGCTTATTGCTCTTGTCTAGTCTCTCTGGCCTAGTCTACCTTCATCCTCTATTGCTCTTGTCTAGTCTCTCTGGCCTAGTCTACCTTCATTCTCTACTGCTACCATGGCTAGTTCATGTAATATTGCATGTGTGGCTAAGTCCCCTCAACCTTGGCTCCTAGACTCTAGTGCTAGTTCCTATGTCTCTGGTAATTCCTCTCTTTTTGATACTCTTAGACCTGTTGATCATACCATTATGCTGGCTGATGGATCTTCTCGGCCTGTCTGTGGTCAAGGTCCACTCTATCCCACTCCATCCCTTTCTTTACCTTCTGGTCTTTATGTTCCTAAATTTCCATTTAATTTGCTTTATGTTAGCCAACTAACTTAAGCTCTCCATTGTTCGATAACCTTTTCTCTTACTTCATGTATTTTGCAGGACCTCCAGACCAAGAGGATGATTGGTTCAGGGCATGAAAAGGATGGCTTATACTTTTTAGACACTAAGACCACTCCTCATCCTCCATCTGCTGTGTTGAGTGCTAGTGTATCTCCTCTTCAGTGGCATTTTCGCTTGGGTCATCCCTCATTGGCCAAGCTCAAGTTAGCTGTTACGGGCTTGCGTCATGTTTCTCAGATTGAGTGTGAAGCCTGTCAATTTAGGAAGCATCATCGTAGTTCTTTTCCTAGTCGTAGTATTAGTCATGTGTCTGAGTCGTTTGCTCTTGTCCATACCGATATTTGAGATCCTTCTAGAACTCCCACTATTAATGGGTTATTTTATTTTGTTATTTTTGTAGAAAATTACTCTCGGATGACTTGGTTGTTTTTAATGAAACATAGATCTGATTTGCCTTCCATCATCTCTAAGTTTTATAATGAAATCTTTACTCAATTTGGTCAACGTATTAAGATATTTCGATCTGATAATGCCTTAGAATATGTGCAATCTATTGTAACTACCTTTTGTGATACTCATGGTATTATCCATCAAACTAGTTGTTCTCATACATCTCCTCAAAATGGTGTTGCAGAGCGTAAACACCGCCATTTATTAGATGTTGCTCGCACTCTGATGTTTAATATGCATGTCCCCAAACAATTTTGGGGCGATGCAGTTCTCACCGCTTGTTTGCTTATCAACCGCATGCCCTCTAGTGTTGTACACACATCTCCCTATTCTCTGTTATATCCCACAACATCTTATTTTCCCTTATCTCCTCGCATTTTTGGTTGTGACTTTTGTCCATGTTCTTGACCCTAGTTTGGATAAGTTATCTCCTCGAGCACGCAAGTGTGTGTTCTTAGGCTATTCTCACACTCAGAAGGGGTATCGATGTTATCATCTTGAGTCACGTCGCTACTTTGTCAGTGCTGATGTTACCTTTTTTGAGTCTACTCCGTTTTTTTCTTCCTCTAGGCAACAGTTATCTTTTGATCTTCTCTCTTCTCCTGAGGGGAAGCCAGCCTCTCTCACTCCTACTCTTCCCCCTCTTATACTCCTTCCACCTCCACTTCTATATCCTCTCCATCTTCTCTTGCTTTTACCCCTCCTTTACAGGTTTATCAACGGTCTCAGGTTCATCGCATTGTGTCTTATGGCCCAACTAGTTCATCTCCTTCGTTTGAGGCCCCTGTTCCACCTGCTGATATGCCATCTAATGACCTTCCTATTGCACTCCGCAAAGGTAAACGAACTTGTACTCAACATCCCATTGCTCATTTTGTTTCTTATGATCGCCTCTCTCCTGGTCTTCACTCGTTTGCTTGTAGCTTGTCTAGTATTTCCATTCCCCGCACCTATCAGCAGGCTATGTCCATCTCTGGTTGGAAGCATGCCATGAATGAGGAAATGCATGCTCTTCATCAGAATCAGACGTGGGAACTTACTTGTCTGCCGTTTGGCAAATCTATTGTGGGTTGTCGTTGGATCTATACTGTTTAGTATCTTCCTGATGGAACTGTTGAGTGACTTAAGGCTCGCCTGGTAGCTAAAGGCTACACCCAGACCTATGGTGTTGATTACTTGGAGACTTTCTCTCATGTGGCTTGTCTTAATTCTATTCGGATTTTTCTCTGTGTTGTAGTTAATCAGTCTTGGCCTTTATATCAGCTTGATATCAAGAATGCCTTTCTCCATGGTGATCTCCAAGAGGAGGTCTATATGGATCAACCCCCTGGCTATGTTGTTCCCGGCAAAGAGCATCTTGTTTGTCAATTGCAAAAGGCCTTGTATGGTCTTAAGCAGTCCCCTCGTGCCTCGTTTGATCACTTCAGTGCTGTTGTGCTTGCCTATGAATTTCACCGTTCCACCTTTGATCACTCTGTTTTTGTTCACCACTCGTCTACTGGGAGTATTGCTCTTATTGTCTATGTGGATGACATCATCATTTCAGGGAGTGACTCCACTAGTATTGCTGATTTGAAGCAGTATTTGGGACAACAATTTCACACCAAAGACTTGAGCCTTTTTCGGTATTTTCTTGGGATTAAAGTTGCCCGCTCTTCTCAGGGCTTGTTTTTTTCTCAATAGAAGTATGTTCTTGATCTTCTTACTGAGATTGGCCTCTTAGGCACTCGCCCCAGTGACACTCCCATGGATTCTAGTGTCAAGCTTGATAGTGACACTAGAGACTTATTGCCCGATATTGGTCGTTATCGTCGGTTGGTTGGGAAGTTAAATTTTGTTCTTTTGTTCTATTGTTAATATTTACTTAAGTTGAAGATACGATGGTCATATTGCTATGTTAGGGTTTTGTATATGTGTTTGACTGATGTAAAGTTGAGGCTAATGCTTATTTCAATATATAAAACTTCTTCTTCTTCCTCCTTCTAAATCCCAACCCTAAATTCCTTCATTTTACATTCTGATTGATGACATCTAAGGAATCCAAGTAAAATTCCCAAAAATTTCTTTACCACAAGAAACAACCGAATTATTTTTCATATGTGACTGCTAACACCCTTCAAACAGTTGACATGTCATCTCCAAAACCTCACTCTACGAAATCATCAACCTAACCTTGTACCCAAGGAATGAATATGAACAGTGCACCATAATTAAAACACAACATATGGGATAAAAGCATGGAACTACCTGCATGTCAATGGAAGTGCCAGTAGTAACAAAAAATAACCCAAGCAGCAAGCCCCTAAATGGCCTTATGTCAGCTTCAATCTGTGTTCGGAAATTTGTTTCTGCTAATAATGCCCCAGCCAAAAATGCTCCAAGCTGCACAGTGAACGCAAAAATCACAAATTGCATAAACTAATAAATTTGAACAGCATCAATATCAGGTATTCTCCATCTTTGAGAAATACATATCACACCGTGTCACTGAAACCCAACTTCTGGGTTAGGAGTGAAGTCCCAGCAACTGTCAATAGGCAGAGAGCAACAAAAGCTTCTGAGCTCCTCGCTTCTGCAACCACCTGGGATTCATATATTTGATTTAGTATGTGCACCATATGACGACATGACTTTGGAGATTTTCTGGTTTAGATAACTTAATGCAAACCTCAAAAACTCTCCGAAGAAGGTATTTTCCTCCCAGAGAAAGCAAACCAAGTCCACCTAAAGCCTTCAAACTTTCTTTAGCAAGCATTGGCCAAATACTTTCCTCAACCAAATTCTGCAGAGAATGACAAGCCAAAAATTTAAAGAAAGAAAGAAAGGAAGAAGGAAGGGAAATATTAAGAAATACTTGATCAGTAAAACAGGAAGCACTGAGAAGCTAAATTGCTTTTTTACTGATTACAAAAAAGAGTTCAATTAACTTAATGATAGAAATCTAATTTTGAATTTTTTGATTTAACATCAGGTAATTAGATATTGTGAAGGAATGATTTGTGGTGCAACCATTAGCTATATATACAAGAATCCAAAATTTAAATGATTGATATGAGATGCCCGCTACCCATGGCATGGTTAAGGATAAAACTAAGCCAGGCCTCTAAACACTTCAACAACTTGCCAACTTCACAAATGGAGATATCTCAACATCTGACATTGATTTCCATTTCACTCTGACTTGATATCCGGATTTTCCATCATGAACCTGTTTCTAAACTCCTCCATGCATACAAAGAACGCACTGACTGATATCGTAGGACATTTACCCTTCTCAACAAAATACCCAGCCTTAATCTCCTCAACACATTGCCCAACTAAAGGCCCAAACCTTCCTGTCCATCATAATTAATTGTGCAAAACCTATTAAGTTTCCTTTCCTTCCTAGAAGATGGTTTTACCCCCTTTTTCTTCTTAGCCTTCTGACTTAAGTTTCACAGGTTCAAATTTCTTGAAGCTAATGCAGTCACCACACATCTCATTCTCCTTCTCTACATTAGCCAACTCCTTCATCTTCTTAACCACTAATTCTAACTGACCCTGATTTAACCAATCACCCTTATCATAAGAGAGAGTGAACACGTCTACTTGACATATAATCTTATCTTCCTTTTGACAAGTAAAAATCCTTTGGCATCAAAATCAGTAAGTTGAGCATGATAGGTTAAACTGCTACGTCTTGATGTGACTCTTTTATCCAGACATTGAATTGTCCACTCAACTAAGAAATAGTAGGAAATTGTTAAACAAGAAGCTAACAAGCTCCATATAGGCTATAAACAATAAGGGACCATTTGCTATATAATATACAACTATTGCACGTTCCCCTTCTTTTTTCTTCTTCCTTCTCTGTTTCTTCCCTTTCTCTTCTCTCCCTATTTTCCCCCTTCACTGCAAGCTGTAACTGGGTGCTACATCACCATGCCCGGTCAATTTAAGGCCATCAAGAAACACCCTACGATTCAGTCAACAGTTTAGTAATACCCATAAACATTATTAAAATTTTCCAACAATTAGGTCAGTCTATTAATCCTTACCTACCATATTAATTTCTCTACCCACATTGCTCTAAGGCCATAAAAGACAGTCTACAATTAATTGCCATATAGATCACTTCTATTTCCTAGTTTTTAGTACATTTGACCTTAATCAAACATAAAACATATGACTTCTCATCCTTTGCATGCCTTAGAAAGTATGCCAATGGGAGTTAAAGGGGAAATTTAAAATCATCCCAACACCACTAAATACACAATAAAAAAAGAGTAATCTTCCACTAATCATAGAAAAAGAAAACTCTACCATCCCCAAATATAAGCATATGGAAAAACAAAAATTGACTTTTTCTTCCTATAACAAACAAACTTTAGTTTTCAAATAGGTAATACTGAACATGTTACTATTTTGACATACCTGGCTCTCCAGCACTGGAAGTATGACTAAGAGAGGGACAACTGCTATGTCCTGCAAATATCAAGCAGCAGGGATCCAAAGGTTATTGACCTGATACTTTTTGATGCACTTTGCATGACCAGCCCAAGTCAATTCATAAAGAAAAATGGAGGAGGAAAAACGACATCATCACCAATGACATTACAAAAATCAAAAAGATGTTTTCAAGCATAACAGAATCAAATAGAACCTGTAGTAGAAGAATCCCCAAAGTGGCCGAGCCAAATCTAGTTGGAAGCTCACCCTTTTCTGCAAGAAGCTACATACTACACGAGATAAGCATAAAACAGCTATGCACAATCTTTATAGCAATAAACAAATTACCAAATTTACATGAATGGGAAACAGATACACATGTATTCAACCATATGGAGCAGAATTTCTCTTTCCTTTCCACTTTGATTGGTAAAAGTGTTAATGTATTATATGTTATTAGCTATAAAGTGTCCAAGCTGTAATCATGGTGTCTTTGCCTTCGGTTGCTTTTGGATGCATTGTTTGTAAACTTCTCCTTTATAAGGAGCCCCTGAACCATTGTACAAAACACAACATATATCAATCAGAATACATACAATTTATTCTCTCTGTATTTCTCTCTCTATCAATTTATCTTACATGGTATCAGAGCTATAAGTTAAAGATGTGTTCTTCGCTTCCGGCGGGCGGCAACCTTGCCTTGACCGCCCGCCGGACCTCAACCAATTGAAACCTCCAACACATACCTTGTCTTGACTGCCCACCAGACCTCAACCTATCCCGCTGCTGCGTCCTTTCTCGCCACTCCACTACATCTTCTAATCTCTCTCAAAATCCAGAAGATTCTGAAATTGAATCGTGAATTTTCTCGAGAATCTCCAAGAAAATCTTCATTTCAGATCTCTACTCACTGACCCCAGAACAGAGTTTGAGATTTCCTTTCAAATTTTTCTGAGTTTTTCTTTCAATGGCCCCAACACCTTCAGCCAAATGTTGTTGTTGTTAAAGACAACCCAATCGGGTTCGGATCCTGATCCGTTACAGTACTGGTGCTATCACTGCAACAAACGGGTCTCCATTGAAACCCGTGGTCGGTCACAAGTGCAAGAACGACTTCGTCGAGTGTTCTGTCCCCCTTCTCCCTCCGATCCTTCTCAACGGGTTGTCGCCGGCATCGATCTCACCCACGCTGACATCGCCAGCTACCTCTCACCGGAGCTTAGTCTCCTCACCGACCTCTCCCTCTTGTGCTTTTCAACATCCTCCATTAGATGCACATACTGAGGTGTCATCTGAATCTGCTCCTTCACAAAATCAGTGCACTGCACCTGTGAACAAGATACTGCACAACACCATTCACACACACGGTTTAGAGAGAGAGAGCATTACACCCAACACACCCACTCGAGCTTGCTCTCGGAATGACTGAACCAACCTCTCTCTCTCTCGGCAGTTTGGGTTAGGGAGAAGGAGACACAGATACACCATTGGAGCGCCACACACATAGGCACGACTTGAGCTACAAACACAGCCATGGGTTGAAATGGAGGGCTTTGACTTTCTCTCTCTCTCTCTCTCTCTCGATCTCTGTATCTTATTCAACCATTTCCATTTGTTAGCTTACGTGGGTTGATATTACGTTTTTTGTCATTGTATTCTTGTATGTTTGCTACTCTTAACTGCTGTGTTTGTGACAAACTGACAACCATGAGCACCTCCATTGTATAATCAGGAACTGGATCTGAAGCAGCAACTTCTTCATTCATTTTCCATCTGTTTCTTATTGATCAACAGTGTCATTTATTTAAATAGATCAAGTAAAAAGTTGCTAACTTACGCTTTTTTTCTTCCCTTCTTTATCGCATTGATTAGTCTGTAAGGCTGTCTCGTCTATGTGGCGGTCAGCAGGAGCTTCAACCACGTTGGCCCGCTGGTACGCCACAATGGGGACCCCGAGGACAACATCCTGCGCAGCCAACAGAGTATGATTATGATTATCCGCAACGAGGGCCATATTGTTCTCAGAATTCACAGTATCCTCCTCAATCGTACAGTAATTATCAGCCGCAACAAGTGGCTTCAAGAAACAAATTTGGTCCGGGATGGGTCCAAAGGCCTCCAGCAACAATGCAAGGTCCCCCACCCCAAAGTGGTGGCTATGACTATTATGGCAGACAGGGTCATATGGTTGATGCACCGTCATCTAATCCTGTTCTTGGTCCTGGCCCTTCCCATACTGCTATGGGCCCACCTCCTTCACAGGGAAATTACAATTACAGACAGCCACATGGTCCAGAGTATCAGCAAGCTCCATATTCCCAATCTGCACCTTCTACACCGTTATGACACCACCATACAGTGTCCTCTACATGGTTATGACACCCCCATACAGTGTCTTCTACAACGTTATGACACCACCATCCAGTGTCTTCACCAATGGTCTGACACGACCATACAGTGTCTCTTATCCTCTTTTATTTTTATGTATTTTCTTGTTTTGTTACTCTCTCCAAACTCAAGTTGGTTAGTTCCTATCCCCCTTGAGTTTGCGGGGGGCTGTTAAAATCCACCCACTACACCACTACCACCTCACCTACTCCACTAAACCTAACCCACTACACCACTACCACCTCCACTTCACCTACTCCACCTACCACCTACTACCACCTACTCTTCTATATATAGGAATCATTGTAACATATCAATCTTATAATATATCAATCAATAATAATACATACAATTTATTCTCTCTCTTTCTCTATACATTATTTCTTACACAGAGAATAGAGGAAATCCTACTACACAAGTATCTAAAACCGTTTGCCAATCAGCCAGAGTCCTCGTTACTTTTTGTTAGTCAATTCTGTGAACCCATGGGAATGGAAACTGCCTCAAGGGGACCACAGCATTGACTTCTATACAATGTGAGCTAGGTTGTTATATTCTTTTGATCTCTTATTTCCAACTTGATTAACATCTCCCAAGCATTCTCCAGCCAGATGTTAGAGATCTTTGAACTGTCAAACTCAATATGTCCAGATCATGGTATCAGGTGACATGCCTTCAAATGTAGAAAAATTCCCCAAGATTGCATACTGAGGTTTATTATGACAACCTAACAGAAACTCATACGCTCCCAAGAACAAAGAGAAAAATCCAAGTGAATAGTAAAGGCACTACATCAAAATAAGTGTAAGCTACCAATGCATGCTTTGGCAATTAAGATATATTAGAAAATCTAATTGTTGCATAAGCCATGCTGCAAATTCACAAGGCCAATGCTGGCAAACTCTAACCAACTTATTTAATCGACAGAGCAACCTTCAGATACCTAGAACAAAATTACCTGCAGGACAAAAGCTGAAGAAGACAATGAAAGAGCAGCACCGATCACTATTGCCTCATCAACACTCCTGATGTTCACCTACAAATTTTAGAAATCAAGACATGAAACAAATACATGAAATTTCAATGTTCAAACATGGATCACCACATGGTAAATACAATTTCTATAAGTTTATCCAAGTGTCAACGAAAAGTTTTGTAGACAATTTGAAATATAGATGAACATAATAAATGATTCAGCACTAACTAACTCACACACTGATATGGGGATTGACCCCTTAAAGTCTATGCTCGGAAAAGGAGAAAGAAAACATCCATATGGGCCCTACCAACGGACCATTGTCTCACCATTGGTATCACATTATAGGGGGACTGTTTTCAAGGGGTTTGGTTGAACCCAAACAATTTTAGCTACTTCAGATTTGAGAAAACTCAGACAAATCAGGTGCATTTCAATAAATTGCCTATCAGGGAGTACTTCTGTAATTTGTGTTGGCATATTATAATCACCGAAAGTCACTTAGCATTTTATATTAGCTGAAAGGCACTAGGGTCTGTAATCATTTTTATGCCCTCAGGGATCATCTTGTAATTGTCTTCCTTGTAAACCCTAATCTTCATTTATAAATAAGGGATGATATCTCATCATACCCTAAGCTGGTTATTCAAGCTTCAATTTGCCCCATCTAAACTAAGCTTGCAAGTAGAATAGGACAAAAAAGTTCAAAGTAGTTGGCAAAATCACAACATGAGAACTCCACAACAATAGTTTTTCAATTGCCAAATTTCCCACCAAAAACAGGGCAGGACACAACAATGGTAGTGCGTTTCAGGATTAGATTTACTGACATTAAGAAAAATAAATAAAAAAAATTCTCACCAAATCAGGCCTTGAGTGAAAAAGGAACTCCAATATTCTTGTTCCAATAGCCCCATTAGGGGGAAGCTCAAATGCTGTGAAAGCAAGAGTGGACAACACAACCTGCAACAAGCCATAACACATAAAAGTTAACACAAGAAATATAACATGGACCCAGAATTAATAGGATCATTATTATTTTTTTTGCAGAAGAGCGTTTAGTATAGTTATCATTTTTTTCTTAGAAGACCTAAATTTGCATCCTTCTCCTGTCTGATATCTCAAACATATTCCACAATTTGCATTGGTCAAATCTGGTATATCACTAATTTTAAGAATAGTTGGTTTGTTCCAAAACACAAACTTTCTACAATTTCTATATTATACATATCTCAAAAACTTAATAAAGCCTTATCCCCGAGTTGATATCAGTTGTATGTAGTCATGTTTAAGACAAGGCATGTTTGGAACACAGTTGCTGAAATAATCCAAAGGCAGTGTGGAAGAGGGCAATATTTTGTCAAAATAGGTAGTAGACTCACATTGATCAAAAGTACCTTACCAAGTTTGGCAACTTCATCATGCCTTTGTTCACCATTCCTTCTTTGGTTTCTAAGAGGCTATAAAAGAATGCAAAGAGACTACTTTTCAGGGTGGGCTTGGGAGACAGGATGCACAACAACTCCAACAACTCTTAGAGAAGGGGGATAGGGATTTGAAGGCTTGAGATTTTCAATCAAGCTCTTTTGGGGAAAATGGATTTTGAGATAATATTCGAGAAGGGTTGTAACTGGAAAATATGGCTATATGTGGGTGGGCAGGTGGGATGCCTTGAGATGGAGAAGGTTGAGCTCCGGAAGCTTTGAGATGAAATTTTGATATGAAGCCTTGGTAGGTCATAGAGGACCTTCTTTTCCTTGGAGAGGTATTTAAGTGTCCAAGTTTGCCTTTTTGTGTGGACAGGTCGCATATAAAAAAAATCTTCACCACTCATAATTTAACTTGGAGATGGAAAATCATGTTAGTCAGTGTTGTATGTGTAAGCAAAATGCAGAATCAGTGAATCACCTACTCATTCATTGTATGGTGGCAAGAGACCTTTGGCTAATGATTCTTAGCATGTGTGGATTTTTTTATCATCTTTTGGCATGTTTGGATTAAAGTTGGTATTTTCTTCAAGTTTATTGGACACTAGCATACTTAGAGGGGCTATAGTAGAGAAGACAAGGAAAAAGCTTACTACTTGGTACATTTATGTTTGATGTAAATTATTATTATTTTATAATGGGAACTAGGAAGGAAGAACCACTTTTAAATTGAAAAGTAAAATTTTCAGCTTTTGTATATTTGGTTCTTGAGGGTTGTTGATCCATCATTGAACCAATTATTCTTGGACTTCAAAGAGAATTTTGAGCAAAGAGTTTCTTTTATTTAGTGTATACCGGTACCAACCCCTTGGTGCCTTTTCTTTTATAAAGTATTAATATCAAAATATAGAAATAGTCATGCTTAAGGGATAACTTACATGTGATTTGTATGCCTACTAAACACCAATTGAGAATCGGAACTTAGCGCAACAAAGATTTACCTGAGTCAATCCCATGCCAAAGGCAAATTTTGCAAGAGCTTTCAAGCGTGCAAGTGAAAGCTCCAAACCCATCTCAAACAGCTGCAAAGAAATGTTAATTAGTGAAAAATAAGTATGCTACAGTTCTTACAAACCACGCAGCACAGCAACTAAATGAAATAAGAGAATCATAAGCTTCTTAAATAAACCATATTGTCTAATTATAATTGCAACAAGAAATAGCAACATAAAGAAGTAAGTTTAGATGGTTGATTCTCTAGAAAAATCAGCCATTTTAATGAAATGTGCCAACTAGTTTGTCCTGAGGTTTGGCTTAGGCCCTGGGGGAGGGTTGGGTAACTTGGGTTTAAGGGTGTAGATGGCCAACCCCATTGCATAGCAGATAGTGGCCTTCTGACCAAACCCCACCCCAGAGAGAGAGAGAGAGAGATCATTCGACTTACCAAGAAGAGGATACCCCATTCAGATAGTACTTTAACGTCTGTAAGATTCCTTATCAGGCCAAATTGATTGAGCACAACTCCCGCAAAGAAGAAACCAAGTATCTGAAAACATTAAATAAATCTTCATCTTACTATATTTAAAAAAACAATAACCTACTAAGCAGCAATTCTTGTTCTGTCATGCTCTATAAAGGTGGAGATTAATCAAGTAGATTGGCAACAATCAATTTAAATCCCATCATACTAAATAACAATGTATCTCATATAGGCCCTTTTTTCTACTAATTCTTTTAACATTCAGCTATAAAGGTTCTTCGCCAAACAAAAAGACTTAACAAATTTTATGTTCAAAAAATTATTTTAAGCATATAGAAATATTCTGCTGCAGCTCCGGTAAACTGTTTTATTACAAATCAATTAGACTGAAAATAATCACTAGAACATGCTCACACACAATGCATGTCATTTTTGAATGCTACTGTGCAAAATGGAACCATGTATACACACACGCCCCCATAAGTATAAATACACAGATTTAGACATGCAGATTATGTTCGTATGTGTGCGCATTTTGTCTTGCATTGAGTGCAACTCAGCCATACCAAAAACAAGAGTCAAAAAATTCGAAGTACTAAGGTACACTTACAGGGCTAGCCTTGATGGTCTTGAAGGCCGGAACAACTATAACAGTCACAGCTAATAATGTCAAAGTATCCAATCCCAAATCATTGATGACCTCAACAGCACTGGCAACATCAAGTGCTGCATGTATACAGAATCTCTCCTTCCGATCTCGTCTATGATTGGAGAAGTGAAATCCTCTTTCACCAGAAATTAAAGAAGATAACAAAGGTCTGTAATTAGATGCATTTGCAGTAAAAGAAAAGCAGTGACTTGTCCATTGATACATGGAGAATAATGGCAAACCCACTCGCCGATTATAGGTATATGGCACAGAGAAAAATTGTCGAGACAGATTTGAAAATACATGAGAATTGGCCCTAATAGTGCTTGTTTGATTGATTATGTCATATCCCTGAAAATAAACAATCATATGTAATAGATTAGCATCCTGACTATCAATTACCTCCCAGAATGAGAAATATCACAGAAATGCATATTCAATCAATGTTGTCATATAACATGCCCATGGCCTAGTGGCATGAAGGTTGGGGGTTCAACTCCCTAGGGTGCTAATCTAATAACTAACAACTATCATTCGCCGATCAAAAATAAAAATGTTGTCATATAACATGCTTATCATAATGAATCACAACACAACCGCACAAACATTTTGGACTGCTTATCCACTAACGTAAAAAGAAGACACCTCCAGCCCTAAAACATGCATCTGGTTGCAGATAATTTCCGTACACAAGATATGTTACCCGTGCATGTTAAATGAGCATAGTAACAGTCCAAGGCTTTGATCAGCAATCTGGAGGAACCATTTTGCTTTTGAGGGAAAATTAGAATTCAACTTTTGCACTCAAAAGCAAGGCAATTACTTCTAAAATGCTAATCAAGGAGTGCTTTCATGAAAACTTTTGCTTTTACTTCAAAACCTAAACCTATTTAAGATTATTTGGATTTGGTGCTGATGGTGAATCAAATTAAATACAAAATATATGCGCATGCAAAACAAGGGTTGTCTTTTCCCAAACATTGGGAAAACAGATATCAAGGTTCAACACTTCAATTTTCTGTTTGTTAACAGACCTAGGCACAATTGTTTGGGAAAGTGAAGGAGCTTGAACCATGTTTAAGAAAATTGAAAAAAATGATACAATGAAGGTAAAAAAAAAAAAATTCCTGGAATCCAAGCTAGTTCTTATTTGATCCCAGAAAGAAAATTCAAAAAAAAAAAAATGCAAATTACCCTTCACTGAATATGCAATCAAGTAGTCCAAATGATTAATACTTGCAAAAAATAAATAAATAAATAATGAAAAATAAGCAACTTAAAATTATGAAAAAAAACAAAACAAAACAAAAAGATTGAGTTAGTATGGTTATTGCAAAAAGGTCAAACATGAAAGAAAGGAAATTTAAATTCATTTTTTTACCCATAAATTGACATTCCATTAATTTTCTTTAATTTGCTTGTATTTTGTTTTTGGTAAAGAAGATGGGTTGTTAAGTGAAGAGTTTACCTTGGGATCGTAGAAACAAGCAATGGAGTCTAGCATGCTGATATTGACGCTCATGAAGCTAGCCTCTGACTGAATTGGGGAAGTTACTAGCACTATGATTCTTTCCCTCCAAAAAAACCCTACAAAAACCGTTGCCAAGATATATATCTGTATGTATATGTATTTCAGCTATGGATTCTTGCATACATGCCTGTGTACTGAAGATGAAAGGAGAGGTGGACGAGTCACCACACGTTTAACTCCTGTGAGTTTATAGAGCTTTTTCAGAGACAGAGAGAGTAATTTTAGAGAGAGAAAGAGAGAAATTTGTCTGTGTGTGTGATGTGATGGAAAGAGTAAAACGGCTGACTCTTCTTCATTCTCAGATGTATAACGTCTAATGGATGATAAGACTCTGGATTTTGCTAAACTGAAAGCCCACGACTTGCCTACGTGGCAGATATATATGGCCCCGTTTGCATATTTTGACAGCAACGAAAAAAAGTCAGCCTAGTTATATTACATTTTTATTTTTTTTTGATAAATTACCTTAACACTCTGGTGTTTGTATTTATTACAATTTCTTTTATCTTTTGAAAATTATATTCTCTTTCCTGAAATTTAAATTTTTATTACAAATTATTTTTTTTAACAATTTAATTTTTTTAAATATTAATTTTATTTTTATTGAGTAAATTACATTGGCACTCCTTATATTTCAAAAACTACAATCCTCTCTCCAAGATTTAAAATAACATTACTAATTGCCCCATCAGTTAATATTAGTTAAAAAAAAATTATTTGAAAAAAAAATTTGTTAGTCAAAATTTTAAATTTCTGTTTAAAAATCAACGTAAATTCATTTTTTGAATTTATATTTTTTCTCAAATTTACAAACTGAGACAATCATTTATAAATCAAAAAAATCATCAAACAAGTTTTTATGACAATTTTTAAAATTGTTATAAATATAAATTGAAAACTGAAAATGAAATGGTTACCAAACAGACTTCAGATAGTAAAAATATCGTAAAATTAACAAATAATTAAATAAATTACCAACGTAAGAAATGACTTATCAAAAGATTCTTAAGCTATATATGGTTTGATGTTTAGAATTTTTTTTTAAATTAAAAATTAATTTGGTTAAGAAATAAAAAATAAAAAACAATTATCATTTTATATAATTTTTATCTTTTTAGTGTAATAAACATAAACCTCAAGTGTTAGTATAATTTTTATCTTACGTTGGTTTTTAAACAAAAATTTAAAATTTTGACTAACAAAATTTGTTTTCAATTAATTTTTTTTTCAAATAATTTTTTTTTCAACTAATACTAACCGAGGAAGCAATTGGTAATGCTATTTTAAACCTTGGGAAGAGAATTGTAATTTCAAAAATGTGATGGATGTCAATGTAATTTCCCCAGTGAGGGCAAAATTGGTATTTAAAAGAATTAAATTGCTGGAATGAACAATCTGTAATGAAACTTCAAACCTTAGGGAAGGGATGTAATTTCCAAAAGATAAGAGGGAAACTGTAATAAACATAAACCTCATGGGGTGTCAATGTAATTTATCCTTATTTTTTATTCTTACACATTTTTTTTATAAAAATCTAAAAATTCAATATCTTTTTTCTTATTTCTCAAAATAGGTTTTATAGCTATTTTAGTTGATTTTTTTGTCTATTTGATTGTTTTAGTCTGATTGAAAAAGTTATGTTTAGAATAATAATTCATTTTTTTTTGTAATTGATTTGATGGTTGTGAAAAAAATAAAATAATTGTGATTTTGATATGACATTTTGTCTTGTTAATTATTTTATTTATTTTATCTTTATTGACTGTTTTAACCAAAAAAATCATATGCCAAACAAGGCAATAGTTTCTGAAGAAAAACATTTTTCACAATTTTCTTCTCTTTTTTTCCTTTTTTTTTTTATGTGTTTTTCAATGCCACTCATACGTTAAAAAATTCAAAAATAAAAAGTTTGTTTTCTAACCAAAAAATGAAATTTGAAAAATAAGTAATTTTTTTTTTAATTCGATACAATTTAAACATTTAATTTTGAGTGAACAAGTATGATGGATTAACAAGTTTACAAATAAATAAATCACAAATATTACATCTTATGATTGATTCGGTGATTTATTTGTGTATCTTATCATTTTTGTGGATTTTATGAATTTTTAAAAAAATATAAAACAATATGTATGCTATCAATTTTTGATTTGTTATAAATTTTAAAGTCTAATTTCCTTGTTATGTCATTGTTGGTAAATTCTGAGTTTTAAATGTGTGCTTATAGCAAACCTCCTGTATAAATCATCGAAAGCTTGCACATGAAGAAGCAAGTGACTAGATTATTACTTACCCAAAAAAGTGACTAAGATTATTCTATATTAAAATGTATTAAAATGTAGATGTATATTACAGATTATTCTATAGAGTGGCAGTCTTAGCACCCTATGAATTATTTTGGATCTTTTATTTTTTTTGGCCTCTATCTATAAATTTTAAAATCCTCAAAATTTCTTTTTCTCTCCAAATAATATCAAAATTATCTTTGTAAAAATATTTCACCCATTGAATGTACACCCCACAGCGCCACACCCAAAAAGACTTCTCTTCCAAAAAAATCCTAACAAAGCCCACCAAGAAAAAGAAGAGTCAATGTAATTACTGTCACTGCTACCTCATCCACCATTGTCACAGTTCGTATACTCTCTCTCTCTATATATATATATATATATGTGTGTGTGTGTGTGTATACATATATACATAATTTCTTAGTTTTCTCGTAATAATTTCTTCTCTTGCAGAAAAAAATTATAATAATTAGTTTGATTAGTTTTGTTGGTAGATATTATAAAATTGTGAGTTCAACAGAGCACTGCACAATAATATTATCAAAACTATGTGATGAATGAATAACTTTTAAACCTGATAATGAATTTGGGCTACTTCCGATAACTTTTGCAAGTGTTAAAAATTTGACCATTCAATGTATTAAAAAATTTCCTGTATTCCCGAACTTGAAAAAATGAAAACTTCTGCAAGCGTTAACAATTTTGACTGTTCAATGTGTTAAGAAATTTTCATGTTCGAACCTGCATTCCTGAACATTACTTATTTGTTTGGGAATGCCTTCTCGAACAAATAAGTAATGTTCGGACTTATATTTCGGAACTTGAAAAAATGAAAACTTCTATAAGTATTAATAATTTTGACCGTTTAAGGTGTTAAGAAATTTTTATGTTCGGACTTGCATTCCCGAGCATTACCTATTTGTTCAGGAATGTCTTCTCAAACAAATAAACAATGTTCGGGTATGTGTTCCTGAATTTCGGTCATATGCTCGGGAGTTCAGTCTCGAAAAAAATGACGAACAAATTTTATTATTTTTGTTATTTTTTCAAAAAACTTACTCTTATAAGGTCAATCTCCTCTGAGCTAAAAACAACATCAAAGTTATGAACATCATCTAAGTTTTTATTGTTGTACTCCTATTGTCTTATGGAATTGTAGTTACTAGAAAAACTTCCACTCATTGTCATTGTCGGAGTGGTGTAGATAGTCAAATGATTGCCATTATTATCACCAGAATATTCCCGCCAAAAGGCTTTTAAGGTTTTGAGGGTGGGTAGGTTTTGAAAGTGGGATTTGGGAAAGATAGATGAGTGGTGATAGAGGTGGGTGCTCTCATAAACCTTAATTTATGATATAGTGGGCGTGCAAGTTTAATTGTGAGATAGGGTGTCGCAAAATTAATAATGTCATTTTTAGTAATTTTATTTGAGATTATTATCGTAATAAAAAAAAAAAAGTTAAAAAATTAGGAGATCCAAAATAATTTATAGAGTGCTAATAACAGCACACATTCTATATTATATATCCAAAATCATATCTCTTCAAATTTGTGTATTAAAACGTATATTACATATTCATTTTTTTTTAATTTTATTTTAAATGTACTATATGATAAAAAATGATAAAAGTATATTTCAAATTTTGTGCATCAAAAGTTTGTCAGTTTATAAAGGAAGAGAAAAAATAATTAACTAATTACAAAAAATTATAGAACTGCCATTCTCTCTTTATCTGTTTGTTTTAAAAAAGGATATGATTTTGAATTAAAGTACAACCTTTTAATGATGAAATAAAAAATGAAAATTTCATTTTACATTGAGAAAATAAAAAATATTATTCTACATTTTAATAATTAAAATGATGCAATGATCTACCCAAAATGTTTTATTTTGTTTATGTTATTGTGATTTTCCTCACTAGTACAAACGATATATTTCATCTGTTGGAGTTTGTTTCTTGATGAACAACCAATTGGATTTTAATTATCAACTGACACGGAATTTTAAACTTTCGATACCAATGATATATCGATACGTTTCCCAATATCATTAACCCAAATATTTTGTACTTAAAGAAAGGTAGAATGGGAAGAAAAGACATAAATACAATAGATCCATTAATTTACACCAGGCTACAATTTCTATTTTTGTGAACTTAACAATATAGGATACAGATCCTCCAGTACAACAGCACACCAACATTTCAACAGTCAATGTAATGCTTTTTGTCAAAACATAATTGGAAATGGTAAAAGAGAACAAATACACAGACCTGTACCGTGTAACTTAGAACAGAGTAGAACCACACCAAGTACTTGACTCCGTACAGGTATCCATCTTTTATTGGAAGTTCATCAAACAAAACAATTAGTGCGCTAGATATAAACTGTAATCTTGAACAAAGACGACTTCACTTAGAAGAATCTTCAGAAGTGAACTTAAGCGAAATACTATTGACGCAATGACGTTCATCTGTTCACATTGCGGTTTATGGCTCCAGGAAGACCTTCATAGAAAGCGGGCCAACCACAACCGGAGTTGAATTTAGTTGTTGACTTGTAGAGAGGAGTTCCACATCCAACACAAGTATAGACTCCCTCAGCAAAGAGCTTGTCATATTCCCCAGTGCCGGGATACCTACAAAGCCCCAATATAACAAGGTTTATACAAGTAATAAAAGGACACAATTCAGCTTTTTCAGAATATAACACCAGCCAGTTCAAACCCAACCTTCACAAGATTCCAAGCTTTTGTTTAGCAAAATAATAACCAGCAGCAGTGCTGCATTCATCAGATCTATGCTCATCACATCAACCATTCGGAGAACAACTAATGACACTAATCTCACTAAAAAAACAGCCATGTACGATGCATCCATATAGCTGGAAAAATATTTGTGGAGTTGAGATTTAGCATGTATTATGGCACAATAATTATGCTAGTTTGTTCTTTCAACCTGTATAATATTTAAATAAATAAAAACTCAAAACCCA